GCTAGTCGCCTATAGTCGTCTATTATACGTGGTATGCGGGTGTCGTATAATAGGCGGAAAAAGTAAGGGGGCACGTGAGAGGCGCATGCGGTCGCATGCCGGGTCGTAACATATAGCCTTTCTTAAGTATTTCGTCAATATATTCTCGTAGTATCTTAAGTTACTTCTAGTTAAGGTTATAGAGTTTATAGAACTTAATCGAGGTTCCGGTCTTAAGATAGATTTCGTAATCCTATTAACTATATTAAGGAATACCTATTTCGAGGGTTTCCTTAAATAACCTATTATATTTACGGTATTCTAGAGGTATATTTTTTATTCGTTTTTCTTTTACTATAGGTTTCTTCTTCTTTTCTTCTTATAAGGCTTAGTTCGCTTCGAATATCTTCTATATAATATTAGCGATAATTTGTTTTCCTTGCTTATATTATATACCCGGTTATAAGGCTTTCTTAGTTAATACTATAGCTTTTACTTACTTCGGCTCGCTTATATCTTATTATAAAGATTTTTTAAAAGCTAAGTCGTCGCGAATATTCGCTTTCTTCTAGCTAAATAATAATTATCGCGTTATCGTATCTATCCACGCTAACTAGCTAGTACGCTAATCGACTATTAAATTACTTCTCGTTAATTATAAGTAACTTAGTATTATATTATATTTATATAAGTCTATAATATCGAAGATAATTATCTTATAATATCCTTATATCGTTATATCGAGATAATCGGTCTCGCGATCGATAGTTCTACTATTATAATCGAAGCTTTATCCTTCGATATTAAAAAGCTTATATAATCGAGTCTTATAATTCTATAGTAGCGTATATTAGTTAACTACTATTAATAAGATATAGTTTCTTATTACCTTACTATCTAATAGTACTCGTAGGTAATATCTATTAATCTAGACTTTTAAAACTATTTTCTATCCCCTATCTATCTCTACGGAGTAAAGGGTCTTTAAGTTTTCCTCGTTATCTTATGCCCTTTTTATAGGCGATATTAATAGTTTTTTAATAAGTAGTATTCTATATCGATATTATTATCCTTAGGGTCGTATATATAGCTATTATTATACGACTCTAGGTATATCGAGGGGTATCGGCTTCTTTCCTCCTTATATAGGTAATATATATACCTATAGTAATAGACTCCGTAGTTTAATATATATCCTTCGTAATACTTATACGTAATATACTATATATATATATTTCCTCGCGGGATAAGGTATTCTCGTGCCTCGATCCTATATCGTAGATATAGTATCTCCTTCGCTCTTTCGTACCTTTCGCGGTCTATCTTACCTTAGTTAATATAGTCTCGGTCCGCTTATTCGGTAAAGTCGAATAATAATCTTATACCGTTAGGGTGCTTATCGTATTTCTTATATCCTTACCCGTACTATAAGGTATATTCTTTACTCGTAATTATTTTAATACCGAGTAGTATTTTTACCGCTATCTCGTAATATCAGAGTTCTTTTATTTCTTTTTATTCCTTAGTCCTATATTAATTAAATACTTTTATTTTAATATATCGTAGATAGTCTACTAACTAATATCTACGCTATATCTTCTAGTCTTATATATATATTTCGGGGTATTTTACTAACTACCTTAATATTATATATCCTATACTAGGTTCTATATATATATACTTATAGAACTCCGCTTTATATTTTTTATATAGGTCGTTAATAACGCGGGTAGCTAATCCTTTAATTAAGTAAACTTAATACTTTCTTTTATTAAGTATATAGACTTTATAAAAGTAATATATATAAGAGACCTATAAAAGTTCGTAGTATTTTAGTATATCTAGGTATATACGCGGGTTATCTCTTAGGGCTATTCTCCGGTCTATTACCTAATTAATTCCTTTATTTAGTGTTTAAGCGGGGATAACTATCTAGAGGTCTTCCCTTTATAGTAGAGGGTCGTATCGATTTATCGTTATTTTTATTTATTCTCGTAAGGTTACTCGTCTATATAATAAGTTAGTCTTAAGTATTTATTTCCTTTATAAGAGCTTTTCGTCGCTATTTATAAAGTCAGTATCGGATAATTCTTTATTTATATTATCCAGGTATTTCCTTAGTCCTATAGTAACCTTACGTATTATAGCTAGAACGCGAGACCTATATAATACCTTAGGGAACTATCCTAAATTTTCCTTACTATCCCGATAGGTTAGGTAACTATCGTCGTAGTATCCTAATTAATATAACGCTTCGTAGGGTATTAATTACTTCCTTACTTTTTCCCCGGCCTTCCTTATTTCTTTAAGAAATTTCTATCGTTCTTTCTCCTTAGAGGTTACCTTATTCTATAGGGGGCTAATATCGTATCCGGACCTAATTATATTTAGCTATTTATACTTACCTTTAAGGACTAATTTCTAGCCCTAACTTCGTTCTTTCTTTAGAGAACGGTATTCGCGCGTAAAGTATCCTTTCTTACTATAGTTATAATAAGTAAGGTTCTTTTTATCTATCGCGTCGAGATTTATTAATCCTATATAGGTTTTACTAAAAGCTATACTTTAGTAGAATCGAGGTTATCCTATATTAGGATAGATTTGGTTTTTACTATTACGATCGCGGTTTAAGGTATTAGTAAAGTATTATCCTTTCTTCTCGCGTCGTTATTCGAATTATTAGTTCTCGATCTTAATAGCTATCGCGATATAGCTCGCGAGGGTAGCGGGTCGGTCTTCCTTATATAGTTCGTCCTTAACCTTATTTTTAAGGCCTCGGTAAAAAAAAACTATCTTATCTCCTTTACTTTTAGTAATCTTAGACGCGATCTAAGTAAATAAGGCGCTATAGTCCGAGGCTAATCCTTTTTACTTTAACGCTTCTAGCTAGTTCTCGGCTAAGCGTTCTTTATCGATAGTCTTAAAAATCGCTTTTAATATTTCTTCGAAGTTATTATAGTACGCGAAGATATCTTTCGTCTCCTATCTTCGGTATTAATAAGTATTAGTTACGAAGTCCCTAAGAGTAAGTTCGAACTATACTAGAGCGGCTCTTAATAAGTATCTTATTATATAATATACTTTATCTTCTTCCGTACGAAGGATAGATAAGAAGTATTATTAGTAGGCTCTAACTTAAGTTAGGAACCCTTAAAGGCCCTTAGTCGTACTATCGAATAGTCTTAGTTAGCGTGGCTTTATAATCTCTCCCGGATCCTTACTAATAACTTATCGAATAATATTATTATTTACGCTATTTATCTCGTTCCTTAGCTAAGCGGCTTATTAATATTATAAGGTTATTCCTTTATTAAAAGAATAATAAGCTTCGTCGTATTATTACTTATCGCGGGTCTATATATCAATAATTTATTATAGCTACCCTTATAACTCTTAAATTTATCCCTTAAGGATCTTCGTATCCTCGTTATTAGACTCGTCCGAGTCTAAGTTTATAGACTAAGCTATCTAGGAGGGCTCGGTATACTTAGCTATAGCCTTACCCTTATCGGCGGACTTAAGGTTTATCTTAGAGGATTCGCTAGCTATAATATCGTATTACTTAAGTACTTAATATAGTAATATACTAAATAAGAGCTATTAATATATAACGTTCGGGTTAGACTAACTATAAGGTAGGTAAATCTAAAGTTAGTTTATAAACTAAGTATACTAGGATATTATTAACTTAAGCGGTCGGGTTATAGTCTATATACGAGATAGTAGATCTTACGTAGACTATTATATTAATAGCTAAGGAGCTAGTAGAGACTAATTATAGCGAAGCTAGGCTTCCTATATACTAAGTTAATATTATATAGTCGACGATAGTTAACTATCGTCTACGAGCGCCTTTATAGCGTAGTCGACTATAGTCGCTAGTCGCCTATAGTCGTCTATCTTGCGTGGCATGCGGGTGACGTATAATAGGAGGAAAAAAGCGGGGGGGCACGTGAGAGGCGCATGCGGTCGCATGTCGGGTCGTAACATCTTCACGGATGCATTGGACTCCTTTGTCCGTGCTGAATACTCCTCGTAATCCGCCTCTGCTTTGAGCGAGGGGTGGGTATTTTGGTACGTGGTCGGGTACTGCTGCTGACGTGTCTGCTCATAGCTGCGGAGGTCGTCCTTCGACATCTTGTAGATGCCGGATCCTGATGATGACATGATGGGTTTTGCGCGATAGAAAGCAGTATGTTTTCCGTACGGATCAGAACAGTCACGAAAATGGACTTGGTATTTCTCGAATGACGAGGCCATTGGGTATCTTTATCTTGGACTCGGCAACGACTCGACATGCGCGCGCGTTTGAACAGGGCAACTAACTCGGCTCCGTCTGGCCTTGATCACGGCCTTACCTCCAGGGGCCGGCCGGCGGCATAATGAGAAGCTACCAACACTTTCAGACAGGGCTGCCAGGAAGCAGCGCTTCGCTGGCCAATCGATCTTCCGGCGCGACGGTCGTTCAATTGATGCATACATGTAGCTAGGAACCACTGATGGGTAACCAACGGCCCGGGCCGACACATAGCGCTCGGAGATTGTAAGGCTGGAATAGGTCAGCAGTCCGGGTCGATACAGGGCGCTGGAAGGTTGTGAGGCCGAGGGATGTTGGTGCCTCGTCTAATTAAAGTGTTTCGCATCGACTACGTGGCCAAATTTCGTTTGGCGCCCGCCGTCAGAGACCCTCCTGTCGACCCACATTGGCCCATTTCGATCGCTTTGGCTGATGATATGCTCATGCACTCTTTTCTGGTGCGTAGGAAAAGGCGGTCGTGGACGTGGCAGCGCCGCGACAAACCCGCCCCATCATCCTCCCTGTCCCTGATGTGAATAAAGGTTCGTGCGCAACTCCAGTGCCCACATAGATGCGACGGTTCTGTCGAACCGGGCCGTTCGATTCGCCGGGCTATTGTTACGCCCTATTTTTAGGCGATGGGGTGGGGCAAAGCGGCCCGCTCCGGGCGCTTATTCGTAGTCTACGTAGTAGGCGCGCATTTCCGCTCTAGCTCTTTTCCTTTCGCCTCTTTTTTTTTTCTATTCCGCGCACTGCAGTCGTGCTGCCCAAGCTGCTTTCGCTGCTCCAACTACCCGCTCCGCCCCCGACTGTCCGACATGTCTCTGCACCTTCTCCCAATCGAAGTCTTGTCTCTGATCCTGCAAGAGGTAGACTGCCCGCGCGACCTCTTTTCGCTGGTCGGCCTGTCAGGCCCCTGCTTCCGAGCTTATGAGTCGGCGCCGAACCTCATCCTCTCATCGGTTCTCCGAAATGCCATTGCGCCCACCGTCCTCCACCATGCGCTTGCCATCCTTAATGTCCCCGACGCTCCGGGTCCGGATCCGCAGACCGAAGTTCTGGAAGGCTTCATCGACCGCTACCTCCAGGCTGGCTCCTCGTTCGAGTTTCCCGCGGATACGGCGGCCATGACTGCCCTCCGGCGCCTCCACTCGCGCATCTCGTACTTTGTCGACGATTACTCCTCTCGAACGATGCGAGCCCTGGCCACCAAGCCCGACGGCCAGCAGGGTGCAGGATGGGACCTGTCGTCCTCTGAGCGGGCGAGATTCCAGAGGGCCTTCTTCCGATACGAGCTCTACTCTCTGGTGTTTCCTGTCGACCATTCCGTTCTACGCCACTCGCTTTTCCCTGCCGACCTGCAGTTCGCCCGATTCCTGGCTCACATGGAACCGTGGGAGGTTGAAGAGATGAGCTGCGTCCACCACTATTTTACGTCCCGTATCGAGGGACTCATCGACCGTCTCGAGGACCAAGTCGTGGAGGCCGTTCTCTCGGCTCCCGGCGTTCGCAGCAGCCCCAGCCACCCCATCCTAGCCGAGCCGTTGATCTTGGATTCGCTTGGTCCCTCTTCGCAGCCGACTCAGCTTCGGGACGATAGTGAGCCGCCCGGCAGATCCGACAAGTCCGAGCGGGGGGGCAGCCCCGACGACGACGACGACGACGACTATGACGACGATAGCATGGTTAGGTTTAACTCCCTCGACCTGCTCGATCTCGACCTCTTCTCCAGGGGGGGCAGGTTCAGGTTGCCCGAGATAGTGAGCTACCTGGCATCGCTGGGCTCGGGGTTTCTCCACGAACTCCTCGTCGCCGACAATGACGAACGTAAAGATATCATCCGGAGGAATAGCCCGCTTAGCCGGGATTTTCTTCCAGAGGCGGTGGATCAGGCACCCGCGACTGGACCCAGGACCGTGATACCAGGTGATATTGCGAATGATGACGATCCTCGCCGCCCATCTTTGGGATACTATTCGTTCAAGCGTCCGGACCAGGATGTTTACCTGGAGATAAGCCACGAAGGGATCCTGAACGCTCCCCTCAGAGAACGAGCGTTCGTTTTCTGGGATGCCGCAAGAGTCACCCAGCCTATGGTTCGCGACAGCCTCCGAGAAGCAAGCCAGGCGCGCACAGACGAAGTGAACCGAATCCTCAATCGACACGAGCGCCAGAGCCCAGAGGAGCGGCTGGAGGGCGTCAAGATGCCCAGAGCCGTGATGGATACGATAATGGCAGAGTTTGGCTCGACCTTTGACTGGGTGTCCCAGTTGCCATCGCCATGAATCAAAGGCCATTACACATGATCAACTTCGACTATAAATACGCGACCTTTGTCGTTTCGCCGACCGCTGAGCTGCGCCGTCGTCTAAAGATACGCTCGAGTAGAGAGAACGTCGATGCTTGCGGTTTGAAGAGCTATGCGGCCCCTCTGCGGAGAGCCCATGCATTGTACTACCACATGCACCCATCTTGAACGGGTGCCGTGGTGCGTGCAAGACGCTCTCAAGCGCGATCTGTGAACATGGAGGAGAAGCAAGATGGAGAAGCGCGACGGACTGGAGCAAACAGTTAACAGATCCACACCACGGCGCGTACTTAGCGCTGTCATCAATCCCTGTCTCCATGTTGTCCTTAGGCATCCACAGTCAACCATTATTCGCCCACTACGGTCCCTCTGAAACATGCGCGCCGGTGCCCTGCGATTTCATCATAAGTTCATAACCTCCTAGCCCTCAATAATGGGTCGTGACGATGGCGCATCTTTGCCTCCATATGGTGATTTGGACTAATGTCAATGTGTCAGTTGACGGAACATGGGACAGCCACTCGAGCGTCAATTCAAACAGCGAGCTGGACACCCCGTGGCCTCTAAAGAGAGCACCAGATGGCGCCTATTACGTGCTTGCTGTTGCTTTCTGGGGCTTTGACACCACAACCTGGGTCCGTCAAAGGCTCAAAATGGCCACAGACCAGGACTTGGCCAATCTTCCTCCGTCTCCTCGACTCTTCTACCGGAACAATCGGGTCACGTGCAACTAGTACCCATTGAGATTTCGATTGAGCTACCCTGGAACGCTTCAAGGTGTCAAGTACAAGTATGAGCTCCCCCCTCCTGTGGCAAAACATGTTTCTCCAAGTCCAGGTCAAGTGCGCAACCGGATCCAAGGGCCCAAATTGCTCTGCTATTCCTAAAGGCAACTAGTCCTAACATTGTCTAGTAAGGCCACTGCATCCCCCCCAGGCTCAGCTTGTTGCAATTCTTGTTGATCAGTTCCCAGAAGCAGCCGCGACTCCGCGTGTCTTCGTGACAGTATCCGATTGTCGGCCAATCCATGTCGGGGTCGTCCACCAAGTCCAAGTCGCACACTGGCACGTTGATTTGTTTCAGCTTGGTCAGCCTGTCCGCCGCCATAGGGTCATTCTTTATGTCTTCAAACACGTCTTGCAGCGCGTCAAAGTCCCGGCGCGGCTTGTAACTCTGCGCGCTCCTCTGCATGCGCTCGGCAGCGTCGATGACCTGGACATGGTTGAGACCGTACTCGCCCAGCGTATCTTCATCCTGGCCTATATCGGGCCAGTTCCTGAGGAAAGGGTTCGCGTCGCCAGGCTTGTCGAAACGACCGATGGCAAAGTTCCTGTCATTGACACACGCGATGTGGCTGCCCATGTCCAAATCCTCCTTGTCGCCGTAGCAAGGAGAGAACCCCCAATCATTGGCCATCCATCCGTCATTAGACCACTTGATTATGGCGACCTGCTGCGCGTTCCAAAGTTCGCTGATGAGGGACGCAAAGATCACGTTCCGGATGTCCGTCGCACTGGCATCGATTATCGAGTCCTGGCTCGCAAAGCCGCCGTCCTGGACAAGACGGGCAAGCCTCATTCCCTCGTCAAAGTCGTCATCGGACGGAGTCCTCGAGAGAAGATCATCAAAGTAGGCGCCCATGCGGTCGCCGAACCATTTACCAAGATCACCAAGCAGGCTGCTGATGTCGGCGAAATTGCTGAAGCGGACGTCCTCGGGCGGACCGCTTGCGCCGCCTGCCATACCAGCAGCCATGGTCAAAATACCGGCAAACGTATTCAGGGCGACTCCAGCACCCGGAGTAGCCACGGCACCGATGCTTGTGAACATGCCGGCGGCAACGGTCAGGAGGCCAGCGGTTTCCAGGCCGATCTCTCCAGTGCCTCCGTCGATAAAGGCCTCGGCACTCGCGGGTACGTCGAAATCCGTCAGGAAGAGTCCGGTGTAGAAGACCTCATAAAAGTGCTGAAGATTCTTGGCAACATTCTGAAGCGACCATAGGACAAAGGCGCGCTCCTCATGGTTTGGGCACCTGTCATCGTCTGCTAGGTGATCCTGACCCACGTCACAATCCATGGCAATGTCTCTGCACGAGGCAGGCCAGTTCCAGATGTCGTCCTGGTTGAAGCCGTCGAACTTGGCAATGATCCGCGGGACGCCTCCAATCTCCTCACTGCCCTCGTTCCGCGGCCAGTCCTTGTCAACGGCGTAGTAGGATTCACTCCGCTGCAGAAACCAAGTTCCGACGCCATGCTCGAACCACATGTCCTCGTCCCAGCTGCCCCCGTTTCCATCGCAGAACCAGCTGTCGCCCGGCCCGGGCTCAGGGTCGTCGGGTGGATTGTACTCGGGCAGGCCTGGGTCGGCAGGGGTCTCCTCCCCGTCATCGCCTCCGGCGGCGCAGGAGTTGAATGAGATCCAAGCATGGGCCGAGGTTGGGTCGATCCAGACCATGTCACCACGACCCTGGCCGGAGAGCTCCGGGAAGAACGTGTTCTCTCCTCTGGCGGCACCCGAAAAGAGCAGTTGCGGCCGTTCCCACTCCATAGCACTGCCTGCGTTGTTCTCTGGGTCGCTTCGCTCGCCGATAGCGTACCACACGCGCGCGTTGCCAGTAAACTTGTCGGTATGCACCATGTCTGCCTTTCCGTCGCCGTTGATGTCTGCGAAGCGGAAGTTTGCGCGGTCCAGGTCCTCTGTGTATTTGACCTGGCCGACGTTCCTCCAAGGCCTGTCCGAAAAGTCTCTCAACCAGGCTGTCGTTGTCCCGTCAGGCTTCATGCAGAGATAGTCAACCTTCTTGGACCCCGTGACATCGGCAAAGTGGGCTCCGTGGTCGCCGGGGAGAAGTCCCCAGCCTTCGGTGCACCAGCCGTTTGTGGTGCTCCTGTGGTCCTGCCGATCCCAGTTGAAGTTGTTGCCGTCCCAGTTGCTGTACCAGACGATGACACCGCCCGTCTCTCGGTCCACGCCGATAATGTCGGCCTTGCCATCGCCATCCCAGTCCCCAACGTGCAGCGCACGAGGGCTCAAGCCAGTGTCCAGTGTGGCGCTGGGGAGGCCCCAAGCGTTGGCGTCATCCCGATAGTACTTGTCAGATGAGGTGCTCTGGTCGTAAACGTTTGGGAACACGGTCACTTGGCCGGTGGGGCCAATGAAAACGTAGTCGTCGAAGCCGGAACCCGTCACGTCTCCCCAGAAGATGCCGTCGCCTTTTGGGTCCGTCTGTTAGCCCATGCTTGAAAGACAAATGTCAACTTGACAGAGCGGAACTCACCTTTCTGGTACTTTCCGCCTCTTCCACGATTCTCCCAAATGTCAAATTTGAGGTGCCCGTCGTCAATCTCCCAGTGGATGTAGCTTGGTCGCCCATCCCACAAGCGGCCAAAGCGGACATGCTCGCGATTGTCGCCAATGTCGGTTCCCATTCCTCCGTGTGTAATCCCGTCATTGCCGGCCTTGAGCCAGCTCGGCACCATGCCCTTGCCTGAGCCTCGCTGGTTGATCCATGTTGTGACGCGGCCTGTCGTGCTCATCCACAGCCAGTCATAGCGGCCACTGTGTTTCGCGATTTTGTCAGCTCAAAGCATCCAGGAAAACCGCGGCTTGTTGCTGCGTAGAGACTTACTCGTTGTTGATGTCGACTACACAGAACCAAGGTTAGCAGATTCCCAAAGATCGCGCTGGGCTTGGCTTACCGAATTGGACACCTCTCATATCACCCATGCCCTTGGCAGTGAACACTGGGCCACCAGACCCAAGGTCTTGCCAGTAGGCTGCCTTGGCGCCGAGGCCTCCGTTCCGCCAGCAACTGCATATCCAATATTAGCTTCCTCGGCCTTGAAAAATTCGTGCCATCATGGCTTCCGCCACATACTGGACATCACCAGTGTCGGGCATGACACAATAATCAAGCCTCCCGTCGCCGTCGATATCTCCCAGACGAACACGATCACGTCCTTTTCCAAGTTCGGGGCTTTTATACTGCGCAGGGTCGGTCAGCATACATCACTCGTCAATTGCCGGGTCACGAATAGGGCGACGAACCAGACCGAGCTGTCTGAAGGTTGGGGGGTTCCCACCCTCGTTCAAAGACGCATGCCTGTACAAGCAACCGCATTAGCGACAGATCCCATACTGCTTCCAAACGAGCTAGGCGATACTTACATCTCACCGTTCGCGAAGATGCAGATAAAGTCATCGAGTCCATCGCCGTTCTGAGTGAGAAAGATTAGCGGCCGGATACATGGACGCTCCAAGTCGCGTCTCCTGCTGTTGATGTACTCACCAAGTCGCCCCATCGGATGGCTGCGAGGTTTTGAATCAGTACGTGTTCAACATTCTCAAAGTTCATGCAGAGAACTCACCCTCGTTTGAGCACGAGTCGGGGACAGTGATCTCGTGCTGCTCCGGAAAGGTCGCCCCTCCATAGTTGACAAACATGGTGAACTTCCTTGGCGAATTGTCCGACGTGGAGCTATCGGACTTTGCGACAATCATCTCGTCAATCTCGCCCAGCTTGTGGGCGTTGCCGCGATTGACCAGCTGGGCAAACCACATCGATCCGTCATCGTCAACGTCGGGGATATCGCCGGCGCGATCGTCCCGAGGAATGCCAGAGTGAATATAAGTGCCGTCGTTTTTGATCTCACCAGCCCGAGCGTACAGAACTTGTCGACCGCTGCGGTAGTCAAACGCACCGCTTCCCAGTTCCTTTCGGCAGGTCCGGCTGGGCTGATCGTCGTCAAATTTGCCAGAGTCCGTCGGCTCCGTGATCCAGCCCTTGTCGTTGGCATAGTTGATGGCCCAGACCCAGACAGCGGCCATCTTCTTCTCGCCCTCAACGTCGGGGTGTATGCCGTCGTGGATGTCATCGAGCGTGAGGAAGCTTGCCATGTCTGCTAGTACCACCTTGATACTCGGGTTGGGCTCCTCTTGCCCGTCCTCATTGACGGGCACGAATTCACGGTGCACCTGACGATACTGGTCATTGATGCGATTGACCCTGGCCTGTGCATCCTGGTTGTTCGTGGGCAGGAGCGTGGAAAGGACGATCACTGCGTCGGGAACTTCGGCAATGATGGTGTTGATGAGTTCCTGCATGCGTAGACCTGTCCGGTCGACATCAAAGTTTTGGTTAGCATCATTGGTACCGGCGTTGATGAGCACAACGTTCGGAAGCCAGACTCGGCACGAGCCTCTGGCGCGATCCTCGACTTGATCGACGCGGTCACCGCTGACTCCTTCGTGGTCCTAGTGCGGTCGAATTCCTCGCGTCAGTCAAGTCACAACGTTATGTACAAGCATTCGACAGGATGCTCAAAATCAGGTCTGGGCAAGGGACGTACATTGTCACTCATTGAGCCCGAGTTAAAGTTGCCCACCATGTTGACATCCCAGCCATCCGATCGGAGCTTGTCGCGGGTGAATTTGCGATACCCGTTCTTTTCGTTAGAAGGCGAGAAGTCTCCGGCCGTAATTGAGGCACCAAGTGGCATGATCCTGAGATAGAAGTCTCCGGGGTCAGCACGCCGGGAGAGATGATTGCCCAAGTCGGGGAGCACTGCCGTGTTGGGAGAAAAGGGGTGAGCAGCAACGGGCCCGAGAAGCGTGAAGACTCCCAGGCCGAAGCCAGCAACCATGGCTGAAAGCTTCATTCTCGACGCAACACAGGCCTGAATCGGTCTGTGCAGTGACGAAGCGCGACTGTGATAATGGGGAGCAGACTTGCTTGGGTTGCAAACATTCTCGAGTCTTGCCCTGGTTTTATACCTGAATTCTGCGAAATAGTCGACCCTGCAATCGGAAATAGCAAGCAGCTTGACTTTGACCCCTGAGAAACATGTTGCCGAGGTATCCTGTATCCATGTTCGCAGGATCAATGCCCAGACGGCTACCTCGTCGACGCAGATTCCTTCTTCTTGGCGGACACGCGACCTGTTCCTGAATCCTTGCCGAAGTATCGTCCACTCGAGCTCAACATCGGCCCGTTAACATTACTTTTGCATGGGTCAATGGGTTGAATGGAGAAGACGTCAACTTTTAAATTATATGTCGGCGTATGTAATTTGCGGTGCATGATATATGTACATATTTGATAGTAGGGAGAGATCGCCGTCGGTCCTCCTGCCCTGCATATATCTATTGAATGCGGATAGTCCTGTGATTAACATCGTGGAAGTTTTACCCCGCTCGTCGACTTGGCGTGCTAGGTATAATAAGCCAAGACAATACTTTAATGCACGTCTTTAGGCGCAACGCAAAACGGGCGCAGCTAATCTAGGGTTCTATATTAAGTTTATTTATAGTGCTGCGCGACGCTCGATACCTGCTCACTACACGGATAGCGCAACAATAGGCTGTTATATAAGCTTTTAAAGTTGCTATCTCTATTCTAACCTCTTAAAGTACGATAACATAATGTTGAATTCAATACTAATTTTGCCAGCCTGCGTAGTATAACGCGAGGGAGAAATGCTCGAGGAGCTTTTTCGCAGACTTCCTATTTTCGGGCAGCCACTAGATCATCCTAGTAGCAAAGTCGAGAATTGTCTCCTTTTCTTGGCTTGCCAGCAATGTTACCATGTCCGCCAAGCGCCCCCCTCCATTGATTAGATCTACTGTCTGCGCGAGAAATCTGACCTATAGGTTAACTATGTTAGTACATGGATCCTGCCACATTTTAATATGCGCCATGTCGCTATGGAAGGGCCGAGTCGCGGAGCTCACCACTGTTATCGAAAGAAGTACGGGAGACTTAAACGTCGGCACGCCAAGTCGTTGTCTGGTGACCTCCGCCAGAAGCGAACAAGTGTCTCTCTCATTGGTTCATATACGAGACAAAGATAGGTGCCCTGTGATCCCTGTAGTTGAAAGTTGTCAATCGGCAGTCAATGCAAACAGCCCACTGTGAAAATCCTCTGCTTCTTGGATGCGTGTCAGTTTGTCCAATTTGCCAGATGCATTTTTAAGAGCGGAGATCTTGAGGCTAACGTAGCGAGGGATAGGTGATTCCCTCCAACGCTTCCAAGTTTATACCCGCCCAAGTCAGCGCCAAGGAATGGGAGGAAGATATAGTGCAGTGGAGGAAGGCTTGCAAATTCAAGCTCTAGGCGAGCGAAACAGGAGATCTAGGACTAAAGTCAAGTTTCACGCTGGTCTTGAACTGATTGTCCGGCACCTGGCCAGGACCCGTGTGGTGGAAAGTTACTGGAAATAATCTAGGCGATCGCCAGCATGTACTTCCCTTTCGATGGGTTCTGTTATAAAATGCGGGTTAGGCTCTGTGCAGAGTCTTTCTCTCGCTTGCCAACTTGTGATTGAAAGCATTCTTCTCCTGAATAAGCGTTGTCTGGCCGAGCGCGTTTTTTCCAGTTTGTTGTCCGACGGCCCCACCACACAGGTCGCGGTAGGTGTTAGATAAGCTACGTAACTTCTGCACTTGCTTTTACTGGACTTTATTCAGACAGTCTGAGGCGGATTAGAAAATAGATTATTAGATATCTGCTACTCCGTACTGTGTGTTATAGCAGTGTGAATTCTGCTCTTGGAATCCGTGCCTACTAAGCCGGCCTACCCTACATCAGATCTACCTACGCGCTGGTCTCGCTTTTTGGCCGCCAATTTGCCTTGGCTGCCTCGCTTCTTGAATAAAAAGGATATTCTAGCTAATAGGGCAAAATCGTGCGGCCTCGCCTTACACATCAGGCAAATGCTTTAGCGAGCGATCGATGCCAGTCAAGTCACAAGTTTTCAGTGATACGCTCCAGGACCTGTGAAAAAAAATAAAAGCCAAGCGTTGCGGTCCGAATCAAGTAATTCAACAATAAATACAGAACCTTAGATCATGTGGAAAGTCCACAACGCGGTTGAATCCGCACGGCCATCGTTTAAAGCGCGGTAACAGCGAGCCCAAGTGTAGAAAACGTGGCAACCTTGAGCAATACCTCCGCAACGTGCTGATATCCTTAATGAGCGTAGAAGACAGCGGTACTAGGATTTGTCTCTCGGAGACGACGATTGGCCCGGATCAGCATCCCCTTCAGCACCCATGCAAGAATAGCAGCCGCGATAGAGAACGCAGCACTAGACGCCATGGCAATCGTGTAGCGAGGCGAATCATCTTCAGGCCAGAGGTACTTCGCACCGTCAGTCATTGTGCAGCTGGATTTGAGGATGGGAAAGACAAACGTAACTTACCGGAGTGTAGATAGATCCGGTGACAGCCAAGGTGTTCACCACGGCCATGGAAATGGCCTTCTTCTCCCTCGTTTGACCACATGTCGTTGAAACCCATCCCAAAATGATGCTGTTGCAGGAGTAAACGCCTGATGCAAACGTGCACATGGCGAAATATCGAGCCCCCACGTTCAGGGTCGAGCAGGCCACGACGAAGCCCAGAACTGCAACCCCCTTCCCAATGGTGATATGCCAAACCCGCTCGTTGAACCGGCCAGAGGAGTAAGACCAAGCGATGCAAAGGGCGCCAGCGATCAGATATGGAGGGCACGTTAACGCCAATGTGACGTTACGACTATACCCAAGGGTGCCGACAATGGTAGGAAAGAAGTTCTTGAAGTTGCTGGCAGCCAGATGCAAATGCTGCATGAGAATCAAGATCCACAGATACTTATCCTTGAGGGTCTCCAGTAGACCTGTCCAGGTACTGGTGTTGGCGCGGAGCTGAACCGTATCCTCGGCGATACGGGAGTGTGCCAATGCTTTCTCATCTTCCTTCAGCCACCACGTGTTGTGTGGCTCATTTGGGAGCACGAAAACGGACACAACCGAGACGACGAAAGTGACAATGCCCTGGATAATGAACAGCCACCGCCAGCCGGCGAGGCCAGCGACACCGCTCATCTCGAAGACGCCGATGGCGATGAAACCTGCAAACGCAGTGCCGCAGATATTGGCCGTGAAGAGGATGGAGATACGAACGGCAATCTCATGCCTGTCATAGAACAGGGACAAGACGTACAGGGCGCCTGGGTAGAAAGGAGCCTCTACGACGCCGAGGAAAAAGCGTGTGAGAAGGAGTCCTTTGAAATCGTGTGCGATAGCTGTGAGGGTGCTAACAATGGCCCATAGAGCCATGGCACCCCCCATGAACCAGGCCGGTCGGATTCGGGTCATAAGCATATCTGGCAGGTGTCAGTATGGGTGGTGAGTCCGTCATGGGCTAAACATACTGCATGGAACCTGGCCCAGAATGTACCCGACAAACAGGATCGAAACACAGGTTTGGTATTCAGTCGAAGAGAGTCCAAGATCGTCTTGGAGGTTATCGAGTCGAGCTACAGTGATGGCGTTGCGATCCAGGTAGTTGAGCCAGTACATGATCCAGAGAGCCGGTAGGATGATCCAGTCGAGCTTGCGGACAAGCTTCTTCTCGGCATCTGACCTGACGCGCCTCTTGCTGTCGTTGTTGAAGTTGGCATCGAGGCCATTCTCCAGCTCCTCGAGGCGAGCCTTCTCGGAGTTGGCCGCATCAGTAGACGCAAACGCTCCGTCTTTGACGCTCGCTCGTGCGGTGGACATGTTGTTTCTCTGTGTTGGAAGATTGAATGAGAAAGGTGCTGCCCGAAAAGATGAGCGAAGTGGACGTCGACCGCTGTTTTTATAACCAGCAAGGAGAGTACCAGTCCTTGGCTCCCATGTACGGTGTACCGTGTACCCCAGACAACCCCAGGCTCAAGCTTTCCCCAGAGTCCCGGATAGCAGAATTCGTTAGTGGGGCCATAATCTGCGGAGGTGTGGGCTAGGAGTCCTCCCGGCGGGTCCTCGCTCCCCCGTGACGGATAAGATCGGAAACCTCTGGATGCCGACGGCCAAGCAACGTACACGAGTCATAGAACTAATCGAACTAGCCAAGATGCAATGTTTTCATTGTTATTGGGTTTCCTGGGTCTCTGGGCTGAAATGCCGAACCGCGCTATTACTGTCGGCTGGAAAGTGTCGGATGTTGGGGGACGACCGTACGAGCCAATCTTGATTTCTCTAACCGTCTTTGGATTCAGCTACTCCGTACCGAGATTCCAGATAAAGTCTAGTGAGTGGTCTCCTAGGCCCTGAAAGTCCTGACACTCATCAGGAATGAAGGGAAGCAACGATGAATCGAAAGGCAAAGCGAGCCAGCTGTCATCAAACACGCCGCTATCTCCTCCCAAATTCGATGGCCCAAAGTCCTGCGGCAAGTCAATGAACCCCTGTTGCGTGTCGTGGGGCATGCCGTTATGCCTGGTGACAAATTCAGGGGGGCGCGCCGCTGGTACGAAGCTTGAACGTAGGCGCTCCACGTGTACCTCTAACAGGGACGCGTACCGTGCCCCAAGATGCAAATCGTCTGGCCTACTGACGCGCAACGCTGCGACGGCCCGCGAAAGAATCTCTAGAGAAGAGACCAGCTTGGTGACATTGACACCAAGACCCAGTCCTTTCAGCAGAAATACGGAAGCCGTCGTGATACGCACAAATGTCGATGCGGGAGCAAACCGCAAAGCGTTGCGCTGGTGCATGTCAATGGCAATCTCGAGTGTGCGCAAGCATCCATCGACAACGATCGTAAGAAACCCATAGTCTGTCAGACTAAGTTCGATAGAGTCTTGGGTTTGGTCCGCCACAGGACTTGCCAGCCGTCTTTCCACAATAGCTTGCAGACCAAGAGAATTGGCCAAGACTTTGACATGCTGTAGCTCAATCGCAAGCACATCCGATATCTGACGAGGGACACTGCTAAAGTTGGCATACTTTTTCTCCCAGAGTGAAATGAGTGACACGAAATGCTCAATCATGCTGATGTAGCGACCGCTTTGCAGGAGATGCTTAGTGATTACGGCCGAGGGGAAAAGCATGTCCGATATGGATCTCATTAGTCTTGTCAGCTCCGTCCACCCCAACAAAACTGAGCCCCAGCCCGATTCTGGGCCGCTAGAGACGCCGCGTTGAGGTGACACGGACGCAGTTACACTGTGGACAATGTGTTCAGACATCATGGACTTGCGCCCAAGTCTGGTCGCAAACTGCTCCTGGTATATGTGTAGCATCGTGGCCAGTGGTACACGCCGATGCTGGAGCCTTTTCTCGTACTCTGACTTTGTGTTCTCGTTATCTTTGGCGGCATCGTCGACATCAAATACGCCAAGTTCGTTGGCTAACGTTGCCGCAACGCCGATCATCATCCAGGACATGCGATCAAAGCGCTTGGCTGGGCTCACGACGTCCTCCAGCCACCTTGCACGCGATGGGCTGTTCACCAAGTCTTGGTTGTTGTCCCGTTCGTCCTTGGCCGTAAACAGAATATCCGAGTCCCAACCATCTGCCGCAGGTGGACAGTGCAAGTTGCGGGGCTGCCATTGCGTAAGGAGGAGAATAGCTTCGATCGATCCAAAAGTGCGCGTCTTTGCTTTCGATGCCTTTTCCTGCCCCAGAAGAATGCGGCGAAGAAGATGCTCGCAGTGATCCCAGAGCCGCTGGTGCGCGAGGAAACCGCGCGACTCGCCCCCAGGAATCGGGAGAACATGGTATCTAGTCGATATGAGAAGTATTGTCGCGCATAAGAGTGGCTCTCGCACCAGGAGCCAGTAGTGGTTGCGATGATGCAAGTAGAAGTCGTCCAGGACGGGTGTTTGCATAGCCATATTCTGGAAGAACCTAAGACGCCCTTTTGTCAGTGGGACTGCCCAGGATGGTAGTTTTCGGAAAGTACTCACAAGTCGACATACGTAACAGCCTCCTGTGCTGAGAACCACCCCATCCGGACAAACCTGTATGACTCCCAAGTCTCCACAAGATCTTTTGAGAGGTTGGTTGACATGGTGCAGGAATACGCATGCGAGCCGTATAGCAAGGAATGAGCTGGAGATAAAGGAGTTGGGACAGAACCTGGGCCAGCAGACAAGCCGGATCCTTGCGCCACCGTAGGATTCCGATTACTGACGTCCCGTGGATCTCCCAACATGGAGTTCTGGTATGCAGCCTCCTGAACATCGCCTTCGCGCTGGGCCGCTTGGAACAAGAGATCCAATGCATCCTTATCGTTGGATACAACAGTTCTCATCATCGAATCGGGAATATGGGAAGGCTGCTCATGGCCGCGATTGTTGAAAACAGGCTCAACCTCATGTGCCATTGGCAACCCGGAGCCTCCGCTCACATGCGGCATGTCGTGTTGCTGATGGTTCCCGGAGCATTGCGTTGGTTGAGGCGTCTCCTGCCACGATGCGATTCTGTCAGGAGCAGTTGGTGAGGTGAGCATTCGCGGGCCAGGGCTGTTTGACGCTTGAATCTGCGTGTCTTGTTGTACAGGGTTAGATGGACGTTTTGGTCGGTTACGTGTACGGAATAGGCATGACTTACGGGCTTCTTCATCGTCCGCACGCGTTGATTGCGATCTTTGGCTCGTTGGAGTAGCAGCATTGCGTTGGGTTGGGAACACGCATTTGACCATCTGTCGCCGACACCTCGCGCATTGCTGGCCGGCTGCGTACTGCTCAGCAGTGATGTCGCATCGCGTCTTTCGAGCCCGACACCTCTTGCAAGCTTTTCGAACGTTCTGTTAGTCCGCGTTTCGCGCTGACCATGATGTGCCGGCCTTTGTCCACTTACCCTTGTAGGCGCGGTTGAACTTCTGGTCGGAAGCTGGGGCCATTGGGCCGCAACGAGCACTGTCTTGTCGATACGACAACAGACCTGGGACTTCGCCGTCGTAGTGAGAGTGTCGCCTGCTTCGCGCCTCGGAAACCGTGAGATCTTTCGTGATGTGTAAAGGTTCACGAGAGCGGAGGAGGGGAGACGGAAAGTGACGGACAGCTGGAACACAGCGTGGGAACGATGGCTAGTCAGGCGAACCCCTCTTGGAGATGGTTGACTGACTAGAATGTGGGGTTATGGGGTGCAGTTCGCGCGGGGTAACTCGCAGGTAGTGGAGGACATTGCCGTAGATCTCCAGGGATATCCGACGGTTTCCGTCAGGGTCTTTTGCATGTTCGCGTGATTCAACTACAACCTCGACCAGTGGTACGAAGACGATTTTATTTAAATTTTATTTAAAAGGTCGCTCGGGACTTATTATTGTAGACTTCGAAAACTATTCACACTAAATCACTTGCATTGACTGCCCGTACCTTGTCTCGTTTGCTCTGATACTCCCTCTACACCATCCCGAGAAATTACCATCTTCCGAAAATGTCGCGCTCGATCGTCAACACTGTTTCCTACCCCTTCAAGTTCGACCAACAAGGAGTCGTGAAGGATGGGCAGGCTGGGAAGACGGAGGATCTCTCGATCAAGCTCCCCAACGTCCGTGGCCGCATCCCTTCCCTGCAGGCCTCGTGGCTGCGGTCAATGATGCTGGAAGCCCACCAAGACAAGACAAAGATCATGGCACACGCTTGCTCGTACGATGGTCTTTCTTCCCGCCTTGTTGAGGAGGCCGGATTCCCCATGATCTTCCTCGCTGGCTACACAGTGTCGAGCTCATTCGGCCTACCCGATACCGGCTACATCGCCATGCAGGAGATGTGCGACAAAATCCAGGAGACTGTGAGGCAGGTCAAGGTGCCTGTCATGGCTGATGGTGATACTGGATACGGCAGCTCTATGAACGTCAAGCGCACAGTACAATGCTATGCCGACGCCGGAGCGGCCGGTATTATGATTGAGGACCAGACCTGGCCCAAACGTGAGCCCTTCAGCCCATCAACTCCACAACCCAAGCAACTAACCATTCACAGGTTGTGGCCACACCAAGGGCAAGTCGGTCGTCGGTCGGGGTGAGGCGTTCGCCCGTATTCAGGCTGCTTGCGACGCTCGCGACGAAGGCAAGGATATTTTCATCCTTGCTCGCACGGATGCGCTCATTCTCGGCTGGGAAGAGGCCATGACTAGGGCACAAGAATTCAAGCGCATCGGAGTCGATGCTGTCTTTGTTGAGGCCCTGCCCGACAAGGAAGCCATGCAAAAATGCGTCAAGGAGCTCGACATGCCTGTATTTGCCAACAGTACGTACATTGCCAGACTGACTGCTTGTGGATTCTGAACAGTCGATGCTGACGTACTGTTTGAATAGTCATCGAGGGCGGCAAGACCGAGAATCTCTCGGCAAAGGATCTTGCCGAGCTCGGCTTCTGCGCTGTGGCATACCCTTGGACCCTCGTGGCTGCCAAGTTGAAGAGCATTCGCGAAACCCTCGAAGCGCTCAAGGAAAGTATGACAAAGGGGTCGCCACCTATGATTTTGTCATACTCGGACGTATGTGAGGGTGTTGGATTCAACAAGTACTGGGTAAGTACACTGAACTCTACTGAAATCCTTTTGCTAATATACTACTAGGACCAGGAGGAGAAATACAAGTTTACTTAAAGTAGAGACCGTCGATTTGTCACCGCCCGTAGTTTGAGATAGATTTAATACTCGGACTTTTAGATTACGGATCTTCAGGGATAGAGAAGAATTGATTCAATAAAGAATTGATGCATTATTAGGATCAGTTTCCCTTACCCTGGGCCTTTTCTTTGTATGTATTGGCTAGGATTAGCTATGTCTCGTGAGAAAGCTTCAGGCGATGAAAATACCACACAGCCGCTCGATGTTCCTCCAGAACTATCAACGACGTGACTCTAACCTCGCCTATTCGCGGCATAATTACTTATCAATCAAACATTTGCTAGAACCCGTGTTCTACTCTGCTACTCCCTTAGACTCTCTTTCGAGATTCAATGTCAAAAGACAAGAATTAAACCGTGGTGATCTTTCTTTCTATTGAAATACATCATTACTAGCCGGAAAATTCCAATCGTTATCCCAACCAACCATACTGCTCTTGAGATTCTACCCTGGTTTTTAGAAGGCCGAGATCTCGATCTAATGTTCGATGGAACATTCCCTGGGCTTTTGATGCGGATAGTCTGCATGAGAACCTGCCGATCACGAGGCCACGCAGTGACATTGCAGGAGAATGATCTCCACTGCATCGTCGGTCTCGATTAGAAATATGGCATAACTCCAGGCGCAAATGTGGAAAGCTCATTATTGTCTACAATGGCCCTGACATGCTGGAAAATCACAATCACGGTAAAAGAAAAAGCAAACGGTGCCTGCGCATTGAAATTGACTCATACTTGACTGAACTATCAAAGCAGGTGCCTAATCCAGGTCGCCGCATCTTCAAACGGTTTGCTTCTCAGTAGTTGCTGCATGGACAGCAGTGACCTCTGCAGCATCCTTGGTCGTAGAAGGATCCGCCACCTTCTCACCAAGAATATCACCACCCTTACCAGAGTGGGAAACTCCGCCAAACAGAACATCAATCTCCTCCAGAGGCACCTGCTTCGTCTCGGGAATGAAGAACCAGACGTAGGCGGCGAGACAGAAGTTGACTGACATGAAGAAGAAGAGGCATTTGAGGCCTTCATTGGCAAGAAACTCGGGGAAGAACTGCTGGAAGATGGTGTTGGCAACGTTCTGCATCTGTGATGACATGCCGACGGCCTGCGCACGGATGTTCACGGAGAAGACTTCAGCCGTCCACATCCACACGGTGGCACCCCATGAAGGCTTGTAGAAGAAGGTGAAGAGGAACAGGAGGAAGACAATTCCAATGCCGACAGGCTCTGACTTGACGCCGTCGGGGCTCTCCTCGGTGTAGACTGTCGGGGTTTTGAGGCCGACAAGCGATACGATCAGCATGCAGACGCCCATGCCAATGGCACCGACGATGAGCAGCCAGCGACGCCCGTATCGGTCCGAAGTCCACATGGCATTCAATGTGAAGAGGATGCCAAACGTGGCGTTGAGGGCGTTGATGAGGTTAATTGTCTGGGGATTGTTCCAGATCTGGCGGTAGATGCTTGTCGAGTACGAGTTGAGAGTGCCCTGCCCAGTGAGTTGCTGGCCAATATTAAGGATGAATGCGAGGATGAGACGCTTGCGGACAGACGGGTCGCGGAATAAGGCAGCGTATGATGTGCTGGAGATTGCCTCCTTCTCGTACTCCACAGCACTGCGGATGGCGAGAAGCTCCTCTTCGACCTCCTGCTCGGTGTCTCGCATACGAGCAAGAGACGCGCGAGCCGCCTCGATGTTACCGTTCTTCTTGATGTGCCAGCGCGCTGTCTCGGGGATGAAAGGTAGGGCGATGCAGACCAAGGCAGGCACGAGGATCTGGAACATGACCACCATTTTCCAGTCCCACTGGCCAAGCCTCTCGCGACGAGAGGAGCAGGCGTAGTTGACCCAGTAAGCAATGAAACTACCAACGGAGTAGTTCATCTGCCAGATGGTCATGATCCTTCCACGGATTTCGGCCGGCGCAATCTCATTTATGTACACGGGTGCAGCGGTCAAAGCGAGACCTTGTCCAATACCAATAATGACGCGACCGGCGATGAAGACGCCAATCTTGTGATGAGGAGTGAAGGCCTGCATGAAGGTTGCAACGATGGTGAGGAAGCAGCCAGCCCACATGCCCCATCGTCGACCGAGATAATCAGCCAAGGGCCCACCGAGAAAGAAGCCGGCGATGATGGCACCGATTGTGTAACTAGTGTTGACTATATATGTCAATAGGGACTCAACAACCTGGGTAGGGCAGACTCACTCAACCCGAGCATCTGTGTGTCCTTGTCTTTGTCGACGTTCATCCACTCGAACCAGTTGTCCGAGCCTTGCACAGAGTTGAAGACCGATGCATCGTAACCGTACAACACCATGCAAAGGGCCGCCACAATGGCAAAGTACCAATTGGCCAATTTCTTGCCCATTTTGAGTGGTTGTCGTGAGCTCACAATGCCGCTACGGCAAGAGTGTCTGATGTCGCAATGGAAGGAGTCGAGGAGGTTGACTCTGTGCGCGAGCTCACCATGAACGAGTGGCAGTCCGCATGCCTTTATATCCTTCTCGCAAACCCCTGTCCCAAGAGTCCGCCGCGTATACGTATGGCCCCGGTGTTTCGGGGCGAAGTTAGCACTGACCGGTTGTAGTTATTCCCTTGGCATGCCCCGTGAGGCTGCATGCCCAGGGAGCCGCATAGCCGAAACGGGAAAACTTCAGTTGTCTTTCGCTTGGAATCGGGGCGAGCAAGTGGAGCATCGCGTTCGCCAAGTACGGGTGTCCTAGTCCATTGTCGCAGCGGACTACTTCTGAATAGTCCAAAACAACGGTCGAGTACGCGTATCGATATTTCTTTCAATGCTTATAGAACTGCAAGGAACTGAGCAACCGTGCAGGTCGCTCATCGCTGGTCCAGCTTATTAGACGTGGTGATGATACATGACGAAAAGCGCAGTCGCATTTATCGCGAGTCACAATAGTATTGGCTCCCCCTCTACAGCTGCGTGCTATTTGTCGAGAATGAGTCGACTGGGCAGACCGACATTCCTTTCACAGCATGCAATGCTTACGACGACTAACAATACGCCTTCAAGGGGTTCTTGCAGATATTCCAGAATGCTTATACGGTATTGGTGGAATTTCCCGTCTTAGGCTCCGAACTAGATGCGGGGCCCACGGGCGCCTGGAGCAATTCCGGAAACGCGGCAGCGGCTGGACCCACATCACCCCGGTGTCTGGACTCCTGGAGTCTGGGGCCGCCGGCCGCGTAGTGTGTGGGGAAATCTTGGGGATGGGTGGCTTTGAGATATATGTTTCTGCTTCATAGCGAAATCAGGCTAAAATTACTGCTGGTTTTATAGTCCCCTTTGTGCGTCGTAATTCGAGTTAACGTAGTTCGGCTTCATTTCAATGATCAACTGGTTGATGTCCAGCTCACTTAGACGCTGAGGAATACTCCCACCGCTTACATGTGAGGGACCAAGCATCAGGATCAGCATTAGCGAGGCGGGGTATCAATTAAGCTTATAACACACTAACATGAGCATGGAACTATTTCAAGTGCTATTTAGTTATGTAAATCAGCTCGAAATCATATATCTTAGCCCCTAGGAAACACTAATTCGTTATTGGTATCGTTTTCCTCGCTACAAGCGTGCTGGCCCAGCGCCAAGTCCCTAGATACCCTGACTATCAACCCGGTCCTTTCTAGCCCTACAGGCCCTTCCCGACCTTGCCACCTCGCGAGAATACTTGCTTTGTCAAGCCAAGCAGCACTGGAGGTCGAGACGACTCTGGCAAGATTCTCGCCGCGTTCGAGGAGTGCAACGATGGCGGCACTGTCGTTTTTGACAAGGAATACAACGCATGCTCACCTCTGGATCGTCGCTTCCTCAAGCACGGCGATGTTGCCCTGACAGGCACTGTCGAGTTCTGCGACGATATTGAGTATTGGTTACCCAAGACATTTGAGTTTCCCTTTCAGGATGGCTCATCCCGGTGGTTTTGGGGCGGCGAAGACATTAACCTGTACGGTAACGGTTCTGGGACCATTGACGGCAATGGTCAGGCATTGTACGATGCCCAGAATGTTATACTTTCCTATGTAGCCCTTCTGGGTCTAGTTCGTCCTCAGTGCAAAAAAAACAGCACCAGGAAGCGCCCTTTATTGTTTGTCACTGGTGATTGGGATGGGTCCATCACGGGACTCAAAATGCGCCAGTCTTCTAACGTAGGTAGGTCTCCTTACCTCTTGACTCTATATGGTACGCATAAAGCTGCAATGGCACTACCTCATCGCCAATAGATTCAGACATGCTTATCACCGACTTCGATATTTACTCCCGGTCAAATCCGAAGAACTTTGCCAAGAACCTCGACGGCTGAAAGACCTAACGATCGGATAACATTGTCCTCCGGAACTCACGCATTGAGCATGATGACGACTGCGTATCAAGATTGACCAGTGCTATGGTGCAATCAACATTTCTGAGTGCGAGGAAACCCTTCCGAGATGGTCACGACGGAAGTGTTATTCACAAACTTCTGGGGCATGGTATCTGCCAAGTTCGACCCAACGGTAGGCTCACAGATTTGCAGTTCGGAGAATGTGAGTTATGCCACCAAGCAGAGGGTTTGATCCTAACTGCAATTCAGTTGCGATGATATACGCGAGGAGCATTAATATCACCACTCCGGGCGGTAAGATTCCCGAATGGCATTGCAGCTTCAAGGACGAGGATCTCTTGGGCCTGGATGGGGCCGGATGCATTGAGGCTTAATAGATTCACTTAGTGATAATAACTCAGATTTACTGTTTGCTCTTTTGCCGTATATCTGTATTAGAGCTTTTATTGTCTTTGAGTATCAACCGCATCCATCCTTCGCCACGTCCAAGTTTAGATCACAGCCAAGCGTTCTCTTCAACAGTCCATTTGACTGCATCTTATTCATCCAATTCGATGCAATCTACGGCTCCTATCGACAGTCCCCGCTGGCACTTCCCATTTGCAGTCACCCACTAGACCAGCTGCTTCAGATGCACTGGACGTCGTACTCACCACTCAGCTTCCCGTCCTGAGCAACGATGGGAACCCGCATCTCGCACGACGAAACCTCATCCGAGAAGCAAGCCACACCGTTGCAAGCCGAGCTCGTTCCCTTTCGGCACTCGCCACGGCTCACCTGCATGAGAGGATACCAAACAATGTAGCCGCTCCTCCCGTCGCAGTTGACAGTGATTGCGGTGGTCAGCGACTCGGTCACAGCTTCGGACTCTGAGTAGCTGAAAGACGCCGAGGCAGAGATGACGTCCTTGATGACTGACGCTTCAACTCCAAACTCGACTGTATAAGTGTCGGTGACGGTCACCGACTTGGTCTTATCACACCGAGCTCCATCAGGGAGGATGTTATCGCAAACACGCTCCTGGAGACCGCGGACATTGTCAATGAAGACCTGCTCAGTGTACTCGTAGCAATCGACAGTTGGGCATGTCTGTCTCTCGTCTAGGCTAGCAACAAGCTCTCGGCGTTCGAGTTTGCTCTCCCTCTCAGGCACTTCACGCTTGGTAGCCTGGGCGCTGTTGTCGGGGGCAAGGGGGTTGTCCTCTGTCTGCACGACGACACAGCCGTCGCCCCAGCGGAAAATGCCACCAGCCGGAAACTCGGCGCATTGGCGTTTGATGTGGGGGTAGTCGGCCGACACATCGCTCTCGAAAGTAGAACCTTCCGGTCCGGCGCAACGGATGTAGCGAAGCTGGCATCCGTCGTTGGTCCAGGTGGTGCCCTCGTTGAATCCGGGGCCGGCGACGGCGTTGTCGAAAGTCTCGGGAATGAGGTCGTCACATGCCGAATAATCGGGACGGACAGTGCCATCGCAGAAAACGTCGCCGCTCAAATCGGGAATGGGAAAGGTTTGAGCGTTGGTCAAGGCCAGGAGCCCAGCGGCAGCGAGAAGGGAGTTGGACAACATGATGAGGACTGGTGTATGAGTGTCTACCTCACAAGACTTGAGGGTGAAGAATTGCTAGCGATGTGAAAGTCGACATTACGGAGGATAAATGGGGGTTACTTATACACGCGATCGGGAGTTCGGATCTCTGATTCTGTGGCCAAGGCCGTGAAGACTTTGACATTCAGAGTCAATTACGTAGTTTCGCTGAACTGGCCATCCCACAATTCCAGGCAGCATCATGACATTGCATCTGCCGGCTCAAGACGTGTCACCATTGTTACCTGTGCTTCATGCGATAGTCGGGCGTCGGCAACATTAACGCCTTGATGCTTATTCTCGCCGAAGCCTATGGTTTGCCACCCATAGGTTTCAGGAACTAGTGCTTACAGCCAAGCAAGAAGGATCTCTACGTAGTATAATCCTTCTCGCAGCTAAGTGGTGCCTACTTCATGCGAAAACTAGGCACACGTCAAGCCAAGGCCCGATTGCCCAATCGGAGACGCAAGTCAGGGCCCGTGAATCCTTCGGTCGGCAATGCTTCACGTGTTCCCCGCAAAAGAGCGTATACCGGCGAACGATAATAAGCTGAACCCTCCGACAGCCTAACGCCATTGATGAAACATGGCTTGCTAACTGCTGCCTGCATCACTCCCATCGCGATGGACGATCCATCTGACATCAAGTGGTGTTCAGTACATGTACAATCCACTCATCTTTGGCCAAGTCTAAAGGAGAGCCACGTCTACTCGCATCCCATTGCAGCATCTTGCCCATAAGGTTCAGAAATATCTTCTTCTCTCGCCCTTCGAGGTTTCCTTCACGATCTGCCAGGGTGACTGGGTCGGGGATTGTCACGCCGCGGGCAAATCCTCCTGTAGAAAATCCTGTGTCAGTGACATCAACGTATAGGAGGACCTAAACTCACCACCCTCAGTGAAGAATTTGTATGTAAGGTTGCCCTTGGTTCAGAGATCGCTTGGCGGTGGTCCAAGCAGCGCAATCATCTCAGAGATATGAGCTCGGCTTCGATAAGCTCGATAAGTGTCATGTTCTGGATCCCAACCCCTGAAAAGATGGCCGCCCTCGTAGATATCCCAGACCTCGAATGTCAGTGGCAAGCTAACACGGGCTCAAAGTATATGTATACTCACCATGCAGCCAGCGTTCCAGATGTCAATCTCATATGACCATGGCGCCTCAAGTATAACTTCTGGCGCGCGGTAGACGTTCGGTTGGACATCTTCCGTATGCTTGATGTTCCCGAGAACGGCGGACCCAAAATCACATAGGACAGGTACGCCTATCCCTTTCGCCGTGTGTAGTTGGCGGGAAGTGTATATTGTCCTGCCCGCAACCTCTTTTCGAGGGCTGGGGCTTATGAGCTCTGCCTGCTCCAAGTCTGAAAAGACCCTTTCGTCCTCCACGCTGAACATGATATTGTCAGCTTTAAGATCTAGTAACCGTAAGCCCATGTTTTGTTCTCTTCTGCTTGCCCAGCGCACCTGTGTGTATGACTTGACACTCTGAGTGCAAAAAGTCCAACGCCAGGAACAGTTGCTTGAGAACAAAAGCGACAATGGGGGGCTGGCAGCCTACCCACTGGGTTGCGCCCCATGAATGCGAGAACACTCTCAAGCAATGGAGTGTGCACGAGACGGCGGTGCTTGCCATCAGGCCCGTCCATGTCGAATGAGCCCAGCAGTGGTCTGATGGCATCGTAACCTGGGTGTCTCTTGGGACCAGCTTCAATACGCTTGTACATGTCAATTTCGTTGTCAATTTGGTCCCCGATGGAGCCAGAATGAACATAAAGCTTTAGCGCGACATGGCGTTGATGGGTCAAGTCGCGTGCCAGCCAGACAGTTGAAAGTGGCTCCGTACCCAAGCTTCCCAACGACTTGGTATCGTTCCTGGAGCACCTCGCCCAAGCGGACTGGGTAGTAACGTGACGCCAGATACTGCGGAAGGGTCTCTTCTTCGATTGGGATATGAGGCGCTAATTTGGGAAAGCCGCTGGCGGGCAAATCGAGTGGCTTCCAGGTCCGACCGAGCGCTCGTCTTGAAATTCGGCGCAAGGAGGAGAGCATGCTCCATTCGACGGCGATTCAACGTGCGCGCGCAAACTAAAGAGGTTTCGCAGCGAAGCTCAACGCTGTTCACATACGGCGGGTGTGCAAGAAAACGCGACGCGTTTGAGGTGTCCGAGGCTGAGAGCGCGACTGCTGTGATGATTCGCGACACGGCTACCCTACGGCTACGCCCGTGCGACCCACGGTCAGGCGGCAGGTAGCGTCAACCAGCATTGAATATCGGAAGAGCACTATGACGATTGCAACGCTAGGTTTTGAGAAACAAAGCTTGGGCACTCAAAGCAATAGATAGCCGGTCTTTGGCTTCTTATCTCGTGTGCCGCGCATTGTGGAAACGCTTGCCGGCCTCTCATTTCCTACACCTTGATAATTCTATCCATGGTATGCAAATACGTAGGTATTTTGCAGCACTCGATAGTATTTGGAGAAGTGTGTAGAGTTATATAGGTAAGTTCGCTCTATCAGACTTTCTATTCCGATAAACAAACTCGAATCAGCCTTTGCCACATTTTCACATATATACTTACGTTGTTTTTTGTTAGTTGTCACTGTCCAGGCTTTTCATGTCAACGCTTTGTTTACTATTAAATTCTCATCAAGTGCGAGCTCCATAGATAGCTCGCTTCTTGAGAACCGCCGAGTTCTCATTTAGTCCTGCCCAGTCGTGCGCATCATAGCAGGCCTGTCGGCTCAGGAGCACTGCCGCTCGCGTTCTCTCTCTCATCTCCGCCTCGAAGTCGCCAATCCCCTTATTCACATCAATCTTTCGATTGTACACTTCTTCCAATGTCTCCCACAGTCTGCAAGCATCTAGCATGCCGTGGTTCGCTGCCTCTCCACGATACATTGTCATTGCGTGCGCAGCATCGCCAATCAGTGTAACTCTGCCACCTCGATTGTCCCAGTCGTAGCAGGGCCAGTCCTGAAGAACAATCTCGAGTACTTGCGACTCCTCGGGTATAGACTGCACGGCCTCGCGCAGCACAGGATGGAATCTCTGCGCACGCCGCTTCATGTCAGCTAACCGCGCCGCATCGCTCAATTTGGTGTCGTCTTCCTCGGGATGTGTCAGCCACGAGAGATTGATTTGCACTTGATACAACTCCTCGGCGGTGCCCTTGGTGCCATTCACGCCTGGAGTGTCCAGCATGCTCACCCAGAGAAAGTCTTTTGTCTCGGGGTGACAGCCTTGGAACAAGAGAGGATCGACGGCTCGAAGCGGCTGCACCTGGCTGCTGGTCATCTTCACAGCCGATCCCACGAACTTGACCGGCAATCTGATGTTTTTGTAGCTGTCTGGTGCGAGAATTTTGCGAGTTTTCGAATTCGTTCCATCCGCTCCCACGACTATGCTTCCTTCGAACTGGCTACCATCCTCAAAGGTTGCCACCACTCCATCTGGTGTCTGCGATATGCTGGACAGCGACTTGTTCCAGTTCACTTTGTGCGATACGCCATCCAGCAGGACGCGTCGTAATTTTTCTCGATTGACCCTCCGTCGCTGGCTCGGCGGGATTCGAAAGCGAGGTTCGAGAGTTTTGAGATTGATAAAGACAAATTTGCCTTGGCCGTCGCGGTCCGCATCAGGATCCACCTGCACGGAATCGATGTCCGTCATCGTCTCCTCGGACAACATCTTCCTGAGATAAGGGAGTGCCCAGTGCAGAGTTATCGCCCAACCTTGGCCCCGTGACGAGACGTGCTCATCGCGCTCAAAGACCTCAAAGGGAATGCCGGACTGAGGTGATTGTCAGCCTAATTGGGTTTCGAAGCGTTGCCAATTATACACCTTAAGGCAGAACTCACCCTTTGCAGGGCCTGAGCCAAAGTCAAGCCGCAAACGCCCGCCCCAATAATAAGCACAGGTTTGTCCATTGTCATTCCGCCTTTTGGTTCGCGAGCTATCGTCCAGGCTGAAGGGATCTTGTGTTCATCACTTGCTGCAGAGCGCTGTATCCTTAATATGACTCGGCTTATCGCAGTATGGACCCCTGGGGCCCGGGGCCCTGATTGCCAGCATTGCCGCGCCGCGCCGAATGCCCTCGACCATTGGCCCAACGACTCCAGACCGTCGGATCGGTACGCACGCTAAGGGAGCTTCACATTTCATTGACCGCTATAGATGCACGTTGCTCGGTCCGCCGCTTGCCTAGCGCATCCGCGGGCGCGGGGAACACGCGATGCGACGGTTGGTTGCTTCATGGATGCGCGACATCCCCGCGACCTGCGCCTTCATCAGCTGACCACCAAGACACCATTATTGCAAAAGACGACGCCACTGCCGCGTTTCTGCACAGAGCTCCGTCATTCGGACTCGCATGATCATCACTTATCCCGTTTTCCATGCCCTCATCGGGTGTCACTCAGTTGATCACCACGACACAACCACTTCTTCGCCCAGCCTTCGTTCAGCGACAAGCATTGAGCCATGTCGGATCAGCAAAAACACGAGGCCCTTCAGCCTATTCACCCGTCCATGGCTGGAAAGCTCGACCCGGTGTTCGAGAAACTGTACAACGACAATGTCGCCAACACGCCGCTGAAACCGATCGACCTGGATGTTCTCAGAACAAAGTACTCAGTCCTTTACTCGTACGGCACTGGGCCCGCACCCGACGTGGGACGCATATATGACTCGGAAATCACCACGCACGAGGGCGTCGCACTGCAATTGCGAGTGTACGAGCCTGAGGGTTCCGGGCCTTGGCCTGCTCATCTGGACTTTCACGGGGGTGGCTGGGGACTGGGGGATCTCGATACCGAAAGTCACATCTGCAAACATATCTGCAAAAAGGCAAATGTGATTGTGGTGGACGTGGCATATCGTTTAGTCCCTGAAAATGCCTTTCCATGCGGCATCACCGACAGCTTTGCTGCACTCAAGTACATCTTCGAAAAAGGCGCCCAAGAATTCAACATCCTGACGGACAAACTATCGGTGGGCGGCGTGTCGGCAGGCGGATTCATCAGTCTCGCATTGGGGCATTTAGCACGCGATGCTGGCATACCTCTTCGCTTGATAGCCGTGGGCACGCCGGTCATTGACGACATCAGCCAGTATCAGACGGCGGCAGATTCTCCCTTTGCGTCGATGCAGCGCAACGAGCATGCGCCGACACTCAATTGGGGTCGTCTAGTGTGGTTCGACAGACTAAAATGGAGCTCGCTCGGCTCAACCCCCGAAGAGATTGCAGAGAAGCGAAAGAAGATACCTGGTCTCTTTGCCAACCTCCTCGTGGCCGACAACTTCGCCGACATGGCTCCGACTGTGATATTCACGGCCGGTGCGGACCCTCTTTGCGACGAAGGGGAGGCCTACGGGAGAAATCTGATCGAGAATGGGGTGCAGGTCACCATGAAGAGGTTCCCTGGTGTGCCTCACCCTTTTATGCATATGGACAAGGACTTGTGGCAGGCCAGTGAATTCATAGACCACACAGCAAGGGCCATCGGCCACGCTCTCCATGATAGCTAAAGTCTATACACAGAGTTCCTTGGGTAGTTGTGTAGATTGTATGGTATCAACCCCACAAGCGCACCAACTGACAATTCCTGTTCATGGTGATACATGATCGTGTCTCTCCGAGTCCGGATACCGTGGCCCAGTCACAAAGTGCGCTTAACCGACGCTACCAAGGCGCGGCTGTGGATCAAGATAACGGGTTTCCACGTTGAAGATAGGTGGCAATCCACTTTCCCCGCATTCTCAGCTGGCATTGATAAGCTTGGGGGGTATCGTACAATGCAGGGACGCGCGTGTCCTGTCCGACTCACCCCTTCCATCCTACATCTATTTCACGCTTAGCCGCACTGACCACGTACAACACGTGCCGCATCATGTCCTCGCCCAGGTGGACGCAGTCAAACGTCTGCATGAGGTGCGCTAAGATCAAACAAGTCTGTGACGGCAAAACACCATGCTCCCGATGTGCGCGACTCAGTGTCCCGTGCGAACCTCGGTCTTCAAAGCACAAAGACCTTTCGGTGACAACAGGTCATGAACAAGATGGCCTCACACCAATTCCAACAAAAGCACGAATTCGACGGGTACAGACAGGGTGCCTCAGGTGCAAGAAGCGAAAGAAGAAGTGTGATGAGCAGAAGCCTCGCTGTGGCGATTGTGTCAGACTGCAGCTCGATTGTGTTTGGCCTTCAGACCGACGGAGGGACGCGAGCGACATCGATCGCGGCGGCAGTTTCCCGTTACTTCAAACAGATTCATCGATCATGGACGGCTTTGAGTACACAGAGACACTCTGCGAAGGGGACTCGACGCTTCTACAGCTTTCAGGGCTCAGTTCTACAAACAACGGCGCGATAGCGAGTGATGGTGGCGTCATACACGACCCGTGGGCTGACGATGCCCTCTTTGACTTTAGTCTGTCACCGATCGACGTTCAGTGGGATCTTACCACGGATTCAACAGCATCCGGTACAACCACGTCCCTTGGGGGCTCGGCAGTCGAGTCTCTGGTGGTCTCTGCGACCTCACCCGACCAGGGATCTCTGAATCTCTATGTTCCAAGCCTCATGCCGAATTTAACGTCTGCTGACGACAAAGCCTTGTTCAATCACTATTCAGCTGTCGTCGCTAATACGCTCTGCCGAACGTCACAGTCGAGCGTGTCCAACCCTTATATCCACCACATCTTACCAATGGCTGTTTCGGATGACACCATTCGTCACTGTGTACTGGCCTTGAGTGGCTCGCATTGGAAGCGAACGCAGCCCCGTCTGAGCGAGCGCGGACTCGTGCACCAGGCCAAGGCGACGCGGGCGTTGGCTGGCATGCTTTCCACCCCCAGTCAGCAGACAACGGACGTTGCTTTGGCGGCGTGTCTCTTGCTGTGTCTGGATGAGATCCTGGACGGCCAGTCGTCCGGATGGAAACACCATTTGGAGGGCGCCAAGCGCCTCATGGCTGCCAGAGCCACGGCCGATGTCACAGACACGGCCTCTGAATACGCCTTCCTCGTTGACCTGGCTCGCTTTCTTGATAGTGCGACCACGACGAGCACATGCGCTCCACCGGTGATGCAAAAAGCCGATACGAATGCTGCATTTCTGAGCAGGCTGAGTTTCCGTCTGAGCAATCACGATACCGCCGTATACGGTGTGCCCAAAGCACTGTTCCATCTGGTTGACAAGATCAACAATCTCGCCCAGAAGCGCAAGACCAGGGTAGACGCGCAGTCGGAGGACAGCTTCCTCCAGGAGACGGCGCTGACGGAGGACCTGTTGGATCACTGGAGCTTTGAGTATGGTGGTCTCTCCCAGGCCGTCGCCAGCCTCACCTCCCTCTCGCGACCAGACCACGACACCCTTCAAGCAACCATTGCCTACGAATGGGCCCTCCGACTCCGGCTTCACCAGATCAGGGATGGCTACAAACTTTCGCACGACTTTGTCCCGCGCTGCGTCGACAAGATACTCGGAGCGGTGCAGGAGATCAGGTATGGTAGCCCGCTGGAGGGTTGCCTGCTTTTCCCCTTGGTCATGGCCGGTGGTGCGTGTGAGGGGCTGGAGCAGAGGATCATCATACAGGATCGTCTCATGGTCATGGAGAGAACGTATGGGTTCGGGTATGTGTACTGCGCGAGGGATCTTGTGGAGAAGGTTTGGGAGCAAAGGGATGCTTTGGAGGGGACAGGGGCGATTGTCAATTGGGCGAGAATGAGGTTCGAAGAGATGAGCGGCCTCGTGATTTTCTGACCGACAAAGTAAATCAGTATGAATATTCACATTCCTATTGATAAAATCACAAGCCTGCGACCAAGGCAGCCACATGTTGGTGCATATCATACCCGCAAACCTCCTCTATTGTCAGTTTCCCAGGCTTGTCCGCTTTGCTTGACCATCCGATACGCTCATTCAGATCAAGGCGTGCTCTTCGACTGGCTTCCTGCAGCTTCGTGGCCCGGGACTTGCGCTCCATCTCGTAGAGCTTGAGTTGCTCCCCAATACTCAGATGGCTGTATTGATCCGAGAAGATGATACCAAGAGCTCCCGCGTCTTCGATCGCCATGCAAGCTCCCTGGCTTTGATCGGGCAGCATGGGATGAGCGGCATCGCCAAGGAGCGCACACCGACCGCGAACCCAGTATTCATACGGTTCATGGTTGTACAAGCGCCACATCTTGATGTCCTCGGCATTCAGGAACAGTGTCTTGAGCTTCTCGTCAAGATCGGGAAACGTAGCCACCAGATTCTCCCCTGTGGTTGAAATATCCCAGCCGTCTTCTCTGAGGTCATTTTTGCTGGCAGGGTAGAAGCAGTAGCAGGACACGACATTGTTGTCGCTGCATGAGGAGAGGACAATTTTGTCAATGCCGTCGCCGCCCCAGAATTCAATCGCATAGTTGCTGAGGTACTCGTCGAGACCAAGCTCGCGCAGCTTGTCGGCGGAAATGATGCAGCGGTAGCAGCAAGAGGTGCTGGGCTGGATCCGGGGCAAGACTCCAATGCGTTCACGCATGGCACTGCGGATGCCATCGGCGCAAATGATAATGTCGTGAACTGCTTCGTTGCCGTTCTCAAACTTGATGCGCCCAAGCTCAGGATCCACGTCCACCGCCTTGTGCCACGTCTTTAGCTCAGCCGGCACACCCTCGCCCAGCTGGGAGGTGGCAGCGTGCTTCAGATGCTGATGCAGGTCTATGCGATGAAAGTTATTGTAGTCAGTGCCGAATCGTTCGCGATAGTCTCCCAGCGGATACGTGCCCTGGATCTCACCCGTCTTCCAATCATGGCGAATTAGTTTCCGAAGGACGACTGGCTTGGCGGCTGCGATGTCGATGTTCCATTCTTCCAAGAAGCGCGACCCGTTGGATGCCACGGACAGAGAGGCGCCCACCTCGCCGCCAAAGTCATATCGCTCGTATAGGACGACTTGATGGCCTGCGCGACGAAGGGAGATGGCCGCAGATAGGCCACCTAGGCCGGAGCCGATGACCGCTACGGACAATTTGGTGTCGGGCTGGGTTTTGCTCGGCATGATGGTGTCTGGCGGTGGCGAGAGTGTGAATCTGAGTACAAGATGCGTCTCCGATTGAACTCGAACAGTCAGTTGGTCTTGTTTATCCTCGCCTCCTTGTGCAGCGCATCGAGAACATTGGCAGGTAAAATAATCAATACTCTGTTGGACAAGTCCGCGAGTGCGCTGCACGGCAGGTCAGCCCGCACGAAGCGCGGATCATCGTCAACAGACAATTGCTGGACGCGCAAAGGGTCACATCACTGCTCGCTCACTAACGCGCTTGAGAGCAGCGAGTGGATGGCCTCGATTGCGCGCAGCTTCACCGAAGCGACGGGGATCTGTCGCGTGACCGTGAACCCGCCTAATGAATACTTGCTTTATGCAATGTCGCCGTCTGGGGGGCGCAAACTCCCGGGAAACGAGGCGACGAGTGCCGTTATCTGTGGCTTAATAATGACCGCAACCAGTTTAGCTTGGACATGGGCATCCTCATTTCCGACGGCGTCGCAAGGGGCGCGGATGATGGCTGAAGCCTCGGTGGCGCGCTCCTGTCAGCGCGACAACCATGAACTATCGATGCTATCGCAGACCTTCTCTCTGAGTATCCGGTTCCAGTATTCGTCTGTAAGCTGCGGCTCGTCGCATCGAACGACGCCGTAGCTCTGCCATGCGCCTATCTCACGACTACGATTGAATTGCCAAGCTGTGCTGACACGCGACGGCTCCCTTGAGGTCTCGAGATTGGAGGCTGGAATCCTGGATCCTTATCGGTGACCCTGCTTCAACGTCACACAGCAGAGCATTGCACGCCACATACGAGGAGATATAAGCAAAACCATGTCCTAGTCTTTTTCCCTACGCGAGATCCAACAAACGACTTGACCAGCGACAAGAGAACGTGTGTAAGCATCCCACACGCGCGACCTACCTCCTCTACCGTCATCGACAGGGCGCTGATGCTCCAGTCTCACGCAGATCTCACTTCCGCCAATGTCTTCACCAACTACGGATCAGAAGATGACCCTCAAGGAGTCTACATCAGCCCCGGGCGTTGAGGATGGCTCCTCAGAATTGTGTCTCAAGAGCGTCGTCCGCAAAGTGGACTACCATATTGTCCCTCTCATGCTCCTGTGCTACTTTCTGCAATTCCTGGACAAGGTACTCGTCAATTACGCCAACATCATGGGCTTCTCCGAGTCGCTTGGCTTCCAGGGAAACGACTTTTCGTGGATGGCCACGGCCTTTTTCATCGGCTACGCAATCGCCGAGTTCCCTCAAGGATACCTCATCCAGAGACTCCCCGTGAGCAAGGTTCTCGGCGTCAACGTCATCCTGTGGGGAGTCACCATCTGCTGCACGGCTGCTGTGCAGGACTTTCCGGGCGCCACTGCTGTTCGAACTCTACTCGGCATGTTCGAGGCCGTCATCACCCCTGCTCTCATCATGATCACGTCGCAGTGGTACACGCGCCAACAGGCAACCCCGCGGACTGGTCTCTGGTACTGCGGCCTCGGCCTGGGGCAAACGATGGGAGGACTCATCTCCTGTGCCGCCCAATCGGGAAAATCGACGTCCGGCTTCGAATCATGGCGCATCATGTTTCTCGCGGTGGGTGCCTTCAACCTCCTCGTCGGCATGACTGTCACCTTCTGGATGCCCTCCTCGCTTTTCACCGCCAAGTGGCTCACGGAAGAGGAGAAGGCCAGCTTGCAGGAGAGCCTGTTGCGTGATCAGGGTGGCAACGGCAGAAAGACATTCCACATGGCCGGTATGTGGGAAGCCATCTCAGACCTTCAGGTGTGGCTTCTATTTGTGAACACCGTCCTCATCGTCATCCCCTCGGGCATCATCACCACGTTCTCGGCAACGCTGATTCGCAACTTTGGATATACCACGAAGCAGTCCGCCCTGCTGAACATGCCATCTGGTGCGGTGTCGGTGTTTGCCACAATCATGGGTACTTTTGCAATCCTGTATAGGTTCCCGCGGTGGCTGGCCATTTGCTGCCTCATGGTGCCGACACTGATCGGCGCCGCACTCATGTCCTTTTTCAACGGTAGCCAGGCACGCTCCCTCGCAGGCATTTATCTCATCAACTTTGATGTCGCGCCTCTCGCCCTCGTCTACGCGCTGGCGGGTGCCAATGTGCAAGGGTACACCAAGAGGGTCACGACCAATGCTATTGTGGCCATTGGCTTCTCGATAGCCAACATTATTGCTCCGCAAACGTTTCGCGCTGCGGACGCTCCGGACTACATACCCGCCAAGATCGTCGTCTTTGGCGTCTGCGGTGGTGCGGTCATTGTTACTATACTGCTGAGGATCTTGTACGGGTACCGCAACAAGAGTAAGGTCGCTCTGCTGTCGATGGAGCCCACGGCTTCTGGCTCTCTGGGAGAACACGCGTCTCTGGACGGGCCAGATGTCACCGACAAGACGAATCCTTATTTCGTGTACGTGTACTGATTTTTCCCGTGCGATGCACGTAATTCTAGGCGTCTGGTTTCTGCCCTGTTTAGTCGAATGCACAGTCTATTTCGAGTATGCCATGTGCTATGCTATTTGACTACCCTGCGGCGACTTTGTGTTCAATGTCCTGAGGTGTTGAAATGTTCCCAGCCTTGACTTGTTTGACTGAAAGAGACTCGCGAAGTCCATGCCTTTGACGATACTTTACTTCTTCGACTTGGTTGTCCCCGTCGAGTCTTTGCGAGCAGCAGTTCGATCACGGGGAGTACAGAGCTGGTGATTTAGACACCAGGATAATGTGACGGACGCTTGGAAATACGATTGGGCAAAAGGAACCAATCGAGAATTTTGGAATTAATAAGCCGCACATATGGTACCATTGAGAATGAGCCGTCTTGCATTGACCCCTTTCATATCTTCCGAGACCTAGGTAACGCCATCGTGAGGCACACATCAAAGATCTACAGCGCTAGCGTCAACTCTCGGCCCCCCTGGCAGAGCGCTGCAGAATCCGAGATTGCCTTGCGTCGGGTATGATCATTATTGTGCAAAAAAGACAAAAAAAAAACCACATGCAGTGCCTTTGTTCGCCAACTCAGATCCGTGCTCCCTACGGCCCCAGAAGACCAGCCGCAGCACGCGCAATGTTTACCATGTGCGGCGCTCGTTGTCATGATAGCCATGTATCGTGTGAGTTGTCGGCTTCGAGGGTCGTCAGATCGGGTGAGCAAACTCTAATTATTATTCCTCGGCAGAGCGCGCAATACGGAGTAATTTGACAACGCCCGACGGGTGCACTGCGTACGTATTGGGCTACGGCCCACGGGCGTGAAGTGCGCGCTAGCGAGAGATCAGAGGAATTGGCTTCGTTGATTGGCTCTACACTATCTGCTAAAGTGCGGCTAATGCAGCCCGTGTACTTGAACACCCTTTTGGGTTGTTGGTTACGTCGCATACGTAGTACGTAGTCGTTTGACACCAGGCGGTACCCAGACGACTGGAACATACATGGACGGACAGAGTAACGAGGATGCAGCGCCGCGGGTCTAGAGTCTCGACGGCCTTATTGATGGGTCGGTCTGGAAGACTTGACCTGCACTAATAAAGGCACAGTAAGTGCAGCGGTGGACTGTGAGCTATGTATTCACCCCTCGCAAAAGTCAAAACCAAAAACGATTGTGATCCTCCACGCTCCACCCGGATTGAGCAGCACACTCATGCTCGGATAGGAAAGAATGCACCAGCCTCCAGGGTCGGAACTTTCTCGGGCTCCCTAGGGACTATGTGTAACACTTTGTCTTAATACCGCAAAGCTGAACCAAGGGCTCCCAGCTGATGGTGGCCACCACCACCACAAAGTTGACACACAATGCGGGAGGTGGGCCCATTTCGAGCGTAAGGACGGCAGGCACCGGTAAGGTATTATTAGTGAAAGTCTCGAAAGGACAGAATCTAGAGGCCTCTCATCAGTAGGCACCTGACGACACCCGCGTCGGCATTGGGTTTCTTAAAAGATATATCTACGACTCTTGGCTTGTGTCCCGGCATGTGGCCACATCCCTCAATGAAGCACCATATTTGACGGCTGCCGCCATGTTACATTATCCTCTTCACAGCCAGAATGTCTGACCCCTTGGTTACTCAAGCGATTGCCGACGGGAGGGTTCCTCCCGGAATCACAGCCCAGTATCTGAATCAAAGCAAAGACGCGTCTGCCATTGTTGGCATCATCTTTGTCACCATTTTCGCCAGTTGTGTCGTTGCCGTTCGACTCTTCTCGCGAGCCTTCCTCCTCCATCGATTCGGTCTCGATGATTGTCTGACTGTGGCCTCTTGGGTAATATAGCCCTCCTCCTTAATATGATATACTTCCGTCGCGGTCGAGTACACGCGTGTTAGGGATCATCTCCCAACGTTGACTGCCGACGGTGTCTTTTCTTATCGTGGTTGCGAACATTGGCTAACCGTCAATGTGACGTGTAACAGGTGTTATTTATTCCCTTTGTTGGGTTGTGCATCAAATTGATCCGGTTGGGGTCCGGTCGACATTTTGACTACATACAATATGTCCTCGATATGCCAACCATACAGAGGACGGAAGTCCTCGATTTTGTCGCGCACATCCTCTACACGACTTCGTTGCTGCTCTGCCGGCTTTCTGGCTTGGCGTTCTACCATCGGCTGTGCTCGGTCAACCCGCGATTTTTGCTAGCCATCAAGATTGTCTTTGCGATCATGATTATCGGCTATATTTCACAGCTCTTCCTGATCATCCTCCACTGCATACCCGTCACAGGCCTCTGGCCTTATACTTTCCAGCCAGACTACGACAAGTACAGATGCTTGCAGTGGGGTCTCGTGTACAGCGTGAACTCGGCCGTCTCCCTGGCCTGCGATCTGTTTCTCTTTGGTATTCCTGTCCTCATGATCAGGATGCTCAACATCTCGCGCAAGAAGAAGATCCAGCTGGGTGGGATTCTTCTCCCGGGAATTCTGTGAGTTTCTTTCCAAGATCAGGGGTTGCTCGGTCGATGCTGACAGCAGGCAGTGTCATTGGGATATCCGTCACTCGGCTCGTCTTTGTTATTGAGGGGCAATGGAATGTGGACATGTCCTGGGCTTGTACGTGATTATTCTGAAAACTCCTGATCGAGGTTGAGACACTAACACTCGCAACAGACGATCCAATGCTCGCCATCGAGGTCACCGAAATCGGCGCCACTCTCGTTGCCCTCTCCGTACCTGGAGTCAAACCTTTCATCGACAAGTTCGTTCTTCGCCGGAACATCCTTAGCGAAGACGACACCAAGGGCCACTCGAGATACGGCGATCAGTCTACTAGTCAGCGAGGCGACATAGCCCTGCATTCTCTCAACTTGCGCTCGGCGTACGATGGCAGACAGGATCACTTGCGCGAGAACGAACACGAGGCATCGGCGCAAGGGTTTGGGAATTTTCGAACCCGGAACAAGTTCGGTGACGACCAGAGCGATAACAGTGTCAATGGCATCTTGATACACGTTGACTTCCAGGTGAAAGAGGTCTCTGCTCGCCGGGAATCGAATGCGCATGCCGCATCACAAGCGTCTAGTTCCACTAGTTAGAATTGTCCGCGTGTCGTAGTAAATGTCTACGGTGCTTCTCGGCTGGAAAGAATTTGATTGTTGTGCATGGCGCGCCCACCTACAGAGTTACTCACGGTGAACTGCGAGCATTCATCAGCAACATGAATGAAGCCAAGCCACCAAAACCCCTGTCGTGCACTGACAGCTGAACGTTTTGCTTGGCTTGCTCCCACATTCCGCATTCCATTGCATTATTGATCATTCCATGTCCGTACTGTACGCGGTCTGGGGACCAAGGTCTAGATTTGCTAGCCGGCTCTCGGCAGAACCGGATGCATCGCGCACGCCAATGTATTAATTCCGGAGACTCAGCCGTGTGTCACTGCCACACTCAGGGTTCTGCTGCCCAATGAGACATTGCCTTTAGGCTCCCTACAGCGGCGATCGACATGGGGTTTCTGTCTTCTGCAAAAGGGCTCCACGCGAGCTTCAGGTAGAGCTACGATCAGCTACATACCTACGCCGCCGTAACTAATGACTAACAACAGGAAATTATCTACCTACCTAGTACCTACCACCTGAGTGAGCCGTCTCACGAGTTCCAGAGAGACATTTTTCGTCCCTTGGCGGACTGGCCTCCACGTGTGCAGGCTGCGGCAGGGACCAGCTGATTGATTTGTACACGTGCAGAAACAAGTTTTGGACCTTTGGTTGCAGATAATCTGATTCACAGCAAACACGTCTTGTCCCACGTTTCACAGACTCACAGTGCCATTTGCCTATTAATAAGCTTCCACGATCCCCCGCATCAGCCCGCTCGACAATCACCTGTCGCAAGCCAACATGTCTTGGAAGTTGTCACTGCTCGCGCTTCAGGGACTCGCGCTTCAAGCGCTGGGCGCCGGGCGTGATCCAAATCCTCCCTTCTCCTTCAACCCGAACCTGCTCCCGCTTCAAGAGAATGCTGGCACGGAGGGCTTGTTCCCCATGGCGGACTGTGTTGGGTTCAAACTCGAGGAGGCTACGATTAACGACATGCGACAGGCCTTGGAGGATGGCCAGCTCACGTCAGTCGAGTTAGTTGCCTGCTACCTCACGAGGACATATCAGACGCAAGAGTATATCAAGTGAGTGCGCATTGACACCCTAACTGTAGCCTGGCAACCGCTGATGTCTTTCTCCCGCCAGTTCTGTCCTCCAGGTGAACCCTGATGTGTTCGCCATTGCCGCGCAGCGTGATGCGGAGCGCAAGAAAGGCAACGTTCGTGGCCCCTTGCACGGCATTCCCTTCACCGTCAAGGACAACATTGGCAGCAAGGACAGCATGGAAACCACCGCCGGTAGCTGGACGATTCTTGGCAACATTGTTCCCCGCGATGCACACGTCGTGAAGAAGCTGCGCGACAGCGGCGCTGTTCTGTTTGCCAAGGCGACTCTGAGTGAGTGGGCGGACATGCGCAGCAACGACTACTCCGAGGGGTACTCAGCTCGAGGAGGCCAGGTCCGAAGCTCGTACAACTTCACCGTGAACCCTGGCGGCAGCTCGTCCGGCTCGGCTGTTGGCGTCGCGGCCAACGCGATAGCCTTCTCACTTGGCACCGAGACCGACGGCAGTGTCATCAACCCGGCCAACAGGAATGCTCTCGTCGGCTTGAAACCCACGGTTGGCCTGACATCAAGAGCCGGTGTCATCCCGGAGAGCGAGCACCAAGACTCAGTTGGTGTACTTGCTCGCACCGTCACGGACGCCACTCTTGTACTCGACGCCATCTACGGAGTCGACAAGCGCGACAACTACACTCTGGCACAGAAGGGAAAGACGCCTCCCTGCGGCTATGCGCCCTATCTGACGAACAAGACAGCTCTGAAGGATGCTGTCTTTGGCTTGCCCTGGGAGAGCTTCTGGGTCTATGCCGACGACGACATGAAGAGCCAACTCCTCGACCTCTTGGATCTCATCAAGTCTGCTGGTGCCACCATTATCAACGGCACGGAAATCACCAACTATGAAATCTTGGTCTCGCCCGATGGCTGGAACTGGGACTATGGCACCACGCGCGGCTACCCAAACGAATCCGAGTACACCTACATCAAGGTCGACTTCTACCGTAACGTTGAAACGTACTTGTCGGAGGTGAACAACACAAACGTCAAGAACCTAGCCGACATTGTTCAGTACAATGAAGACTTTGATGGTTCAGAGGGCGGCTTTCCATACGCAGATGGCAAGGGTATTCCCGCCTTTGCGTCAGGCCAGGACGGCTTCCTCGCGTCTCTAGCGACAAATGGCGAGCGGAACGAGACATACTGGCAAGCGTTGAATTTTTGCCAGACCTCCTGCCGCCAGGGTATTGACGACGCCCTCTCCTACAACGGAAAGCAGCTCTCGGGGCTGCTCGTGCCACCACAGGTTGCACAGGCACCACAGATCGCAGCACAGGCTGGCTACCCCGTCATCACGATTCCAGGTGGTTACTCAGCTGATTCAGGCATGCCCTTTGGCCTCGGCATCATGCAAACAGCCTGGGCGGAGGACAAGCTGGTGAAGTGGGCCAGTGCCATCGAGGACTTGCAACGATCGACTGATGCGCCTTCAAAGCGTAGGCTGCCCAAGTGGCTCGGGTACCTCGAGCGCAACATTCCCGTGCCTTTCTGATCCAAGCCAGCCAGCCAGCCCACTAAGATGGCTATTGTAACTTTGCTCATACTTCATGGGTTCCTTTGATATTTGCTCACACCCTATATGCAGACCCAGAACGTCATTCATATACACATGTACGTCATCTGGAGGGCACTCCATAGCAAGAATTGATTATTTATACGTAAACGCAAGCCAATATCATGCTTAACATGTACCAACGACTACGCCAAAATAACCCGTTGCGAATTGCCGAATCCATGGCGGGCACAGCCGACTCGATTTGCCGAATCTTAGCAGCTTCCACACAGTGGGGAAGAAAGCCGTCTGCGACCTCCCGGGTCCCCAGGTTTATTTCTCGCTCCGCCATGGCCACTACGCAGTCATCCGTCCTCCAACATGGAGGTGGGGGAGGGGAGACGCGGGGAACATCCAGGACTCCAGATCAGTGCCTGGTTGTTCGATAGTCCGTACGTCTGCGTAGAAACAGCACGCACAGGACAAGATGTGGAGGTGGGCGGGGATGGCATAGCCCGTGGCGATTGGACGCGTCGAGGGCCGCGATTCCCGCAAAGTCCGCGACGCAGAAATAAAAGGCGTCCTTCACCACGTCGTCCACTGCGTTACTTATCAAGCGACACAGGAATATCAGCGACAACGCTCGGCAAGACTGATTGACAGGAATGACAATCGCACCATGTCCATTTTGACTACCCTCTCGACGCCATGGGTGGCCGTCGTCGCGATTGTCGTGCTGGTTACGGTGTACTATGTGACACCATACCTCACCGACAATGCACACCTAAGAGGGATCCCTGGACCTCCCACGGCCGCCTTCTCAAACATCTGGCTGCTGTCGGTGTGCAGGAGAGGGAAGAGATTTGCCATCGTGCATGACATGCACCGGAAACTGGGTCCGGTGGTTCGCATCGCGCCGAACCATGTCAGCATCGCAGACGCAGATGCAATCAACACCATTTATGGTCATGGCAATGGCTTCCTCAAATCGTGAGTGGCCATCGCACGTGTCTAACGGATCAATGTCAAGGCCGGCTTGTCTGATTATAACTATAGTGATTTCTACGACGCATTTGTGTCCATCCGTCGCGGCCTCTTCAACACTAGGGACCGCGCTGAGCATACGCGCAAGAGGAAGCTCGTCTCGCACATCTTTGCGCCCAAGTCCGTGACAGAGTTCGAGCCATATCTTCGACAGAACTTGGAAGAGTTTGTCAGGCAATGGGACAAGCTGATCAAGCTATCGCCCCACAGTCAGCACTCGGCTCGGCTCGATTGCCTGTCATGGTGTACGTTGGCTTCCACTCACGGCCTCTCCTGACACTGACCCGAAGCACAGTCAATTATCTCGCATTTGACACGATAGCTGACTTGGCATTCGGAAAACCATTTGGAATGCTCACCTCTGGCGCCGACATTGCGGAGATCAGGACGACCCCCACAAGCCCACCACTGTACGCTCCCGCCGTCGAGATCATCAACCGTCGTGGCGAGGTCTCGGCAACCCTTGGCATCATGCCCTTCCTCAAGCCGTATGCACGCTACCTGCCGGACCCGTTCTTCTCCAAAGGCCTTGAGGCTGTAGAGCGCCTGGCTGGTATCGCCATCGCTCGCGTCTCTGACAGACTCGAGAATCCTCCCGACATTAGTCGCCAAGACCTGCTTGCGCGACTTGTGCAGGGCAAGGATGAAGATGGACAGCCACTGGGGCGCGAGGAACTGACAGCGGAGGCGCTGACGCAGTTGATCGCGGGCAGCGACACGACGTCCAACTCATCATGCGCGCTGCTATACCACGTGGTCAAGACAGAGGGTGTCTTGGCCAAGCTTCAACAGGAGCTTGATGCAGCTGTCCCAGACGACGTGGACGTCCCCATGTACGAGCAGGTCAAGAGCCTTCCGTACCTGGAGCAGGTCATTAGCGAAACACTTCGTCACCATTCAACCTCCGGCATAGGCCTCCCGAGAGAAGTCCCCCCGAACTCAGCAGGTGTTACGATCCGGGGGCGCCACTATGGTCCTGGGTCAGTCTTGAGTGTACCCACGTACACGGTCCATCATGACAAGTCGATCTGGGGAGAAGATGCGGATCAGTTCAACCCGAGCCGGTGGGAAAACCCGACGGCTGAGATGAAGAAGGCTTTCATCCCCTTCAGTCATGGCCCGCGATCCTGCGTCGGGAGGAACTTGGCTGAGATCCAGATGAAGCTGATTGCAGCCACATGGATCAAGAGGTATGATGTGTTCCTCGAGCAGGAAGTGATGGAGACCCGCGAGGGCTTTTTGAGGAAGCCAACAGGACTCAATGTTCGGATCCAAAGGCGTCGAAAGGGTGGTTCTTGACTGCTGTATAAGTATGCTCAGTGCCCATCGGTCGTCATGGCTTTACTTTAGCAACAGACTTGAACGGAAAGCGTGCATCATTACTCGTGCCATCAGGGTACCTTCGTTTCATTCTTGTCCATGGGTTTGGTTGACCGTAGTGCTGTGGCCAAAAGGACGTGACTAAGGTGGCCAGGAAGACGTGCGATATCATCCTCTGTCAGTCTTTGACTTCACTTGATATTTTGTTTTGTGCCTTCAAACATGCTCTGCTGCGAAGTCATGACAAGTACACCATGCCATCGTCAAAAACAATCATGCGGATGTTCACTTGATCTCAGTATCGTGGAGCTGCATCTACTGACGTCACTTGAATTCTGCTTGCATCTTCCCCATCCTCCCTCCCCCATCCTCACTCCTCACTCCTCATTCTTCAACCGCAAGTTGGAGTCTCAAGTGAGCCACGGTGCTCTGGGTGAACGCGGATATTTCTAGAAAAGCACTCCGAAATGCTGCGCACAAAGCGAATCGCTGGCCGATTCGGGCTCTTCTCACGGAAAGCATGGCAATATCCACGTGCGATGCCATGTGCGACGATTACATCCGCCCTACACACATCAAGCATGACGGAGGACCACATCGCCACTCTCAAAGTGAGACGAGACCGAATGATGCAGCAGCTACACGACACATGCCAATGGGGCCAAGGCGAACGATGGGGAAGGTGAGTCCCGTCGGCTGTGCGGCCCTCAATTGCTGGCACCAGTTCCCATCCGCCACGCTGACATTTCTCAGCGCTGTCATTGACACGGGCATGAAACGTCTCGCGCTCACAGACGCAGACAAGGCGGTCCGAGACTGGTTCGTCGAGGAAGCCAAGAGTCTTGGATGCAATGTGACGGTAGACGAGATGGGTAACATTTTCGCGGTCCGCCCCGGCACCAATCCAGATCTCCCACCTATTTACGCTGGGTCTCATTTGGATACGCAGCCAACTGGTGGGCGCTATGATGGGATTCTCGGAGTCATGGCCGGACTTGAGGGCTTGCGGGTTCTACAGGAGAACGATATTCAGACCGACCATCCCATCGGGCTCGTCAATTGGACTAGGTAAGCTAGCAAAGGACAAGCCGTTGCTGAATTAACACCCTGTGCCCAGCGAAGAGGGGGCTCGTTTCCCGATCACTATGATTTCCTCGGGTGTCTGGGCGGGCGTCGTTCCACTAGAGAAAGCCTATGCGTCGCAAGATGTCGGCGGCAGCGGCTCAACGGTGAGATCCGAGCTCGAAAGGATAGGTTATCTGGGTCCCAGGCCTGCAACGCCTGAAGCAACGCCGATGGCTGCTCATTTTGAGCTGCACATTGAGCAAGGCCCCATCCTTGAGAACAATCAACAGAAGATCGGTGTCGTGAATGGCGCTCAAGCCTACAAATGGTTCACCGTCGTGGTCAAGGGCAGAGGTAGGCTTGCACACTGCCCGATCGAGATGGTAGACTGACGTTCACCTTAGCCGCACACACTGGCACCACTCCAATGGACGCAAGAGGAGATGCCCTTCTGGTGGCAGCCCGCATGATAAACCACTCAAACGTTGTCGCAAACAACTCGGGGGCGCTGGCTTCTACTGGCATCTTGACGCTTCAGCCAGGGAGTGTCAACGTCATTCCGAGCCATGTTCGTTTCTCTCTCGACATACGCTCAAAGTCTGATGCTATCGTAACGGAGGTCGAGCAGAAACTGAAGCGTGATTTCGCTGCTATTGCCCAGGGGCGTGATGTTGAGGGCTGCACGCCGCCCTCCGCAGGAACCTTGCCGATGGAAGTCACATGGGCCACAGACTACCATTCTCCGGCTGTTCATTTCGACCAAGGATGTATCAACGCAGTCCGGACGTCAGCAGCGGGAGTCCTAGGAAGCAGCGAATTATTTCGAGATATGACGAGCGGCGCTGGGCACGACAGCGTCAACACAAGTAAGCACGTTCCCACGGCCATGATCTTTGTGCCAAGCAAAGGTGGAATCAGCCATCACCCGGAGGAGTGGACGAGCGATGAAGACTGCGCCTTGGGTGCTGCAGTCCTCTTGCAAGCAATGCTGAGGTATGATCGCGGGCATAATTCAAAGTGACGGCGCCATCAAATACGATACAGTAGTACCAGTTTTGGGGACAGTCCTCCACGGCCTGAGAACCACTTGACGTGATGCATGCAGAGAGCTCAAATTTATGTACCGCTTTGCGAACCACCACACGTACTCACGATCCACTTTCTGATGTTTTCAATAGCGGTTGCATCCATGTTTCCTGCGTTATCGTAGTCCGCGGGAACCGATAGACCCTCTCCTCGAACGAAGCAATGATCAAGGCCTTCAAGCACGCTCAGCACCACGTCTTGCTTGGAACGAAGCTCCCTCTTCCAGACCGTGAAATCATCCTCCACTGTCACTTGATAATCACGAGAGCCTTGCAGCAATAAGATCGGCTTGTCCATTGCCTGGCAAGTGCCGATGGGGTCAAGCTCACGACAACTGTTCCAATAACAGGCAGGCAGACCGAACGGGAGGTCGCGAGGAGCGGTAGTTGAATCTGGGCCGAGTCTGTCCGCGGCGTCTGATTTCTTCTCGGCCTCCGCAATGAGCTCTTGTGTGGATTCGACTAAATCACTGTCCAGTGAAGCAAAGTACCGAAGTTGTCGGGCGTAGGATTTGTACATGGTCTCGCTGGGTGGTGCCAGAAGAACGATCCCGCGGATTCGGTTGTCAACTTGGGCCAGGTGTGGAACAACGGTGGCACCGAGACTGTGGCCGAGTAAGAAGATCCGGCCTGATTCAATCTCTGGATGTTGAGACGCATAGTTGAGAGCAGCATTGGCTTGGTCGAAGTATTCGTCGGCTATTGTGAAAGACGATCTGTTCCTGAACTTTTGGCCGTGTCTCAACGTGACTTTGTCGAATCGTATGGATGCAATGCCTTTCTGCGCAAGACCCAGCGCCAGATCTTTGAAGGGTTTCAGAGAGCCGACGCTCGAGTCTCGGTCACAGGGTCCTGAGCCTGCCAAAAAGACGACACAAGCATGGGGACCAGTGTGCTTCGGTAGGCAAAATATCCCCGGGACTTCCAACTTCGACCCTAGCTCAATGTCTGTCTCTCTTGCATACCCATCCTCTGTATATGGAGGACATTGCCAGGCGACCCCGAAGCCCGCTGCCAGGAGTGGGCTGACCTGGAGGCCAAGGAGCCGGCCTGAGGGCCACATCCGAAGGACCACGGCCAAGTTAGCTCGGGCAAAGTACACCGGAATCTTGGCAGTGGGCAAGAACATTGTTGTTTTGATGGAGGGTCGCCCAACCCGCTCGATCGGACCGGTCGTGGCAGTGATCACCTGCCATCCTTTCCTCAGCGCGGTCTCGGTCAGGAGTAGTCGCAAAGGCAGAGCAAAACGGCCGCGCAAACCAGCCCAGTCGCCGTCCTGTAAGAGACGGATGGTATCTGTCGCTATGAGAGACATTTGCTGCTCGTTGCAGGCACCCCTTCTGAAGGCCAAGGCAGAGACTGTCCGGATCCAACCGCCCAAAGATAAGACATACCCGTAGGCTCGTCGGGCCAAAGCGGTCAAAGTTGAGTTCAGGGTCGACATAACGTGGACATATCAATCTTCTAGGAAGTCCCACATGGCCTTTGAGTTGTTTCAAGTATCCATTGTCGCTTATGTTCATTTCTGGACCTCAGACTTAAGCAAGAATGTGAGATGCAGGCGGCCCCCTCTTCTCCGCGCTGTGCCTCACACGGACATATTACTCGTCTAACGCAGCGAATGAGAAGCTTACTAATATCAGAAATGATCTCGTTGAAAAACAGTATTGTTGTAGAGAACGCAGCAACAGCGATCTGGTCTCCGTGGTTGGCATGGTCCCTGGAGGGATCAAGTGCGCGACAATCACTCAGAGGGCAGCGTCAGAAGCTGTGGCTCACGAGCAGAGAGAAAGGTGCACGAGTGAGATTGGGCCAATTTCCAAAGTAATATCCTATTGATGCATACAATATGCTAAGATACGGTTCAATCCTATGGATGTTAGACTCGTGAACAAACGTTGCAGTCGTCCGAGCATGACAGGCCATTCAGTACGCCGCGCTCTTCTCCTGGGTCATGCCAGAGTTGTGCACGCCAGTCACGCCGCCACTGACGCTGCTCCTGTCTTCGAAGCCCTCCTCGTCGTTGCGCGAGATGATAGGGGTCTCGCCAATGGCAACCTGAGGCATGACCGAAAACTTGCCATCATTCCTCCTGGTCTCCGGAATAAGGAAGTTCAACCATCTGGGGAATATGAAGAACGTGACGATGAAGATGACGACCAGGTGCATGATGATGAAGGAGTACAGGAAGGGCGGGTCATTGTAGTGATTGTTGTTGATGAACTTGGGGTACGCAAACGTCCAGACCAGGAGGACAGCGGGTCCTGTGATGTATTTGAGGAGGACAGGCCATGCCCAGTGGAGCTTCCAGTTCTTGCCTGTGAGGACAGCGTGGTTGATGTCGCGGCGGAATTGGTTGCCCTGTTGCGAGAGACATTAGCTTACGATCCATCTTGAGCGGTAGCGGTGACAACTTACACAGTAGAAGGCGGCGTACCAGAAGCGGCTCAGGAAAGCGTTCTTGGCGAAAAAGCGAGGAGCTCCGACGGTGGGCGTCCTGCTGAGCAGCACACTGGCGATGACGCTGACGATGAAGAGACCAAAACCTGCACCAGCACCTGCAGAGGGACTGACAAGGTGGCCAACGAGCAGGCCAACGAAGTTGGAGAGGACGTAACCGCCATTGTAGGTCCAGTATCCAATGGGACCAATCTGATCCACAGGATCCCTCCATCGGTAGATGGTGGTCACGAAGAAACACTCGGTGAAGACGGTGAAGAACAGGGCAATGTCGTTCACAAACGTGTCGACAGCATCCAACAGGTTAAAGCCCACCTCGCTAGTGTAAATGATGGAGATTAAGAACGACACGACGGCAATAATGCTGACAATGGACCAGCGAGGCCACTTCTTGCCCCAATCTGTTACGACCTAGTCCCTCGTAACCCCCTATAAGCAGCTATTACGCCTGTATTGATCGCTCGTCATTCGATCAATGCCTGATCTTTTGCCCATAGCGCAACGGTTAAGCGTAACCGTTATAATTTAATCGAAAAGAGCTAGTAGCCCGGTTAAGTAGGGGCCTATTATTCGAGGTCTATTGTTCGAGCCCCGCTACTAATAAGGCTCCGCGCGAATAGCTTAGGCATAACTATTGCGGAACGCCTTAGGGGTTAGTAGCTACTAGGATCGCGCTAGCGAGGCTAGTGCGTGGAGAGCCTAGGAGGTCGGGACGACCTCTTAGAGGAGGGGAGCTAATGTTACGACCTAGTCCCTCGTAACCCCCTATAAGCAGCTATTACGCCTGTATTGATCGCTCGTCATTCGATCAATGCCTGATCTTTTGCCCATGGCGCAACGGTTAGGCGTAACCATTACACAATCAGAGTCGCAGACCATGGTCGTCATAACTTCAAAAAGTGCGAAGACACATGTGACACCGAGAAGCCACAGTGTAAGGAAAAAGATGACGGAGAAGAAGTTGGAACCAGGCATCTCGGCGAGAGCGGTCGGGTAGGTGAAGAACCCAGAGCTGAAGGTGGAGAGACGCTCCTCTTCCGAAGGCTTCAGGCCCAGGAATCCAACAACACCCATGACCGCCAGCGCAGAGACGATTTCGATAGCCGAGTTACTCAGGGCAATGATGAAGGCATCCTGGACGGCGTTAGAGTGCTTGGAGGCGTATGAGGCGTACGAGACGAAGTATCCGAAACCGACACCGATGGAGAAGAACATTTGTCCAAAGGAGTCCTGCCAGACTTGGGCACCACTGATGGATTCGGTGCGCCAAACACCCAAATAGAGCCTGAAGCCATCCGAGGCATTGGGCAAGGACAGGGACCGAATAGCCAGCAGGGCGATCATGACCAGGGGCAGTGCCATGGTCACGTAGATGGCGCGTCCAGTCAGGCCAACACCCTTGAATGTACACATCCAGCAGATGAACCAAGTGAAAATGGCCCATCCGAGCGTCTCACCGACGACGCCAGTGCCGGGGTAGGAGATCATCTCTTTGGTCTTGTCGCCAATGGGCGCCGGGTTCTTGACAACATTGTTCAGGAAGAAATCGGGTGCGTTCATATCGGACCATGGCAGCGGGCTCGTGAAGGAGTGGCGGAAGTAAACCATAGCCCACGCCAAGATGGCCACGTAGTAGGTCACGACAGTATATCCGTTGAACACCATGGACAGACCAACGCCCTTGGCGCGATGGCTGACGCTGTTCCACGCGCCGACACAGCCCGCACGGTAGGCTTGTCCAATGACGACCTCGAGTGTCAGGATGGGGATACCGATAAAGAATAGGGCGATGAAGTAGGGGATGAAGAATTGGAGACCGTGGTTGTTGAAGACGACCGAGGGGAAGCGAAGCAGATTGCCGAGACCGACTGCACCACCAATGGCGCAAAGGACATATTGACCTCGTGAGTTGAAGTTGTCGCGGCCATCGTCGTCTTTGCCGGCGTCTGGCGCCACCATGAGCCAGACTTGCCTGCCAAAGCTTGCCTTGGGGGCTTGTTCAGCCATAATGACTGACGTTGAACGACGATTATAGTAAGAGGCCTGCCTTGAAGGGTAACTAACAAACACTGGACAGAACTCTCGTAATTTTTTGCGCAGACCGATGACAGAAAAGAGAGGAACCGGGCAATCAGGGACTCGGAGGAGGAAGATGGGGCTTGTGCTGCGGGAGTGCCTTGACTTTAAGCACCCGCGCTTCTGCGCCAACAAAACACCCCCATCAGTCAGATGCCAGCGGGTTCAAGCCAGTCACCCAGCTCGCCCCTGATAGATGTGGAAGGTGGCAACTGCATGACCAAATTGTTATCAATACCAAGCCTCATTCATCGGCCCCCGAAGCTTGGCAGACAGTCTCGAGCGTGACCGAGTGTGGTCTGGGGGAGGAGGATCCTTTGGCACCTTTGCAGACCCTGGGGTGAGGACCAGCGAGAGAAGTTCCAGACAAGCCTATCACTGGCTTCGGACATGTTCTATCGCCTTGGCTGCGGCTCAGACGCGGCCTTGGTAGTCACGCTGGATAGGCGCCGTCAACCTTATTGACTGGAAACGGGTCCACCCCCGCAAGCCAAGCTTCGGCCGCCACCCACATAAGATAAAGCCAAGCTTTCTGAACAAGTCTTAGTCCCCCCTTTACATGTCCGTCCCTCTCAGCTCCTAGCCTTCTGTTGCTTCTTTGCATGCGCTTCCTCGCTAGCTCGGACGAAAGAGGCAGGTCGAAATAAGCATGTGTGTTAAAGTTGATGGCGGAGCGCTTGTGACCCCAGCCGCGCATGCGAGCCCTGCGTTCCAAAATTGCATCGAAATAAGTGTGTTGGCCTTTATTTTACTGTGCATGCCCACTTGTTCGATAAGCAATCTCTTGGCGTTGGCGACTAAGTCATCCTGCCTGCGGTTCATTGTATGCGCTGCTCGCTTGCTGTCGCTTATTGTTGCATCTGTGGTGAAGACGGCGGGCCTCGCGCTTTTCTAAACGGTCTCGTACCAGATGGCTTGGGTCCAGTCCTGCCCATTCTTGTAGCCTGCGACGGTACTGACTCGGCTTCCCTCGGGCAACGATACGTGCATCCAAAACCTCAGTCCCATTGACATCCAGTGTGCTTGACAGCTTGAGGCAGTGCCACGCGGAGGGTGCTGCCAACCTGCGTCGTTCCTAACTTAAGGCGAGGAAGCTTTCGAAGCTTGGGCCTGCAGGAAGACCGAGATAAAGCGATGATTTCCGTCTCTTGGGCAGCACAGCAGGGGTACGTACACGTACGTGGTCCGCAGGGACACGTTCAAGTAGTCTTGGCTCCGGTGAAGGCGTACGTCCTGCTGTCGCCATTCTGGCAGGTGTTTCTGGGCACATGCATCTGCTGCAGCATCGGTTCAAAGGCCACGGATTGTTCGTTCCCGCTCCAAATTGACATGTCGTCCCACAGCAATGGCGAGCTGATTGTACGCCCGCATAATGACGGTTCGAATTTTGCGTCGAAAGATGAATCGTGGCAGTTCATGTTGACAAAGTGTCGGGATCGTGTTCTGTCGGTTCCTTCAGTGTACCCGTGTCGCGTGCAGTGTGCCAGTTGGCAGCAGGCACCCATTGCAGGGATCTGACGGGTATGCAGGCCCCTAGCAATGACTAATTTTATTAAAGTCGATAAAGCCAGCCTGGTCCGATTGTTTGTTGGACGGCGAGGCTGCTGAGTGACTTGAGTCTTGCGCGCGCTCAATCATCGATGCATCGAAAGGCCTCGCTCCCACCACAAGCACCCGCAAACGTGAGAGTGACATGCCGTCTGGCGCAGACCGCGAATTGGTGCCGATGCATTCTGCTGCCGTTACCTCTCACGGACGCTTAGGCACCTTTGTTGGAATGTGCAGCGTCTGCACCCTGCAAGAAACCGACTGGACTTTGAAAGAAGTGCTGCTGCAGTCGGCTCAGTGAGACGCGCCGCGGCCGGCTGGCTGATGTTGGTCGCAAAGTTCAACCCCCAAGAGCGTGTCGCTTCCCCCTGCCTGCATTCGATGTGTGATTGAGTGCTGTCGTTTGATGTTCGAGTCAATGTTCGTCGATTTGGCCCGAGATTGTATTGGCTGAAGCGAGTAAAAATATTAAGCACTGAGATGAAGGACGACAATTCTCCTTCTCCTCGCTGTTGCTGTTGTCGTTCGAGTACAAGCAAGTTGCCGCACCTGCACCTGCCTACCCGGGGGCGGTGGACATCACGAGCGTATGGCGTCGCAATGCGCGGGTTGTAACACGTTGTGAAAAAAAGAAAAGCTTGTTCTAGACGAATGAAAGCTAGGATAGAATCGAGGTGTTAGCCACATATAGGACTTTTACTAATTTCATAGCTTTATTGCTGGGGAAAATCGTCGTTGGTGTTCCCGTTTCCGACAATATAAATAAATATTTTGGGCCAATCTAAAACGGTTTCTTCACGTTGCGGCCCTTTCATTTGCCATGTCGACTTCGTTGTTCACAAGGCCAGCATCTCATTGGTCTTCTCGTTCCGCAGGCAGCCTCGGCGACTGGCTGCTCGTTCGCTCCAAGTGTCGCGAGGACGCTGTCTCCAGTCCTTCGTTCATGTTTTCATCGCAATTGGGCTGACTGGCTCCGCCTCGAATGCTTACCCAGCGGCATGCTGAGCTTATTTGCCCATCCGCCAATCATGCCGATGCCTATACGCACAATCCAATAGCTGATCCCTTAGATCGGTTCCCGTACCTCGTGAGTGGTGAATCCGTTCCTGGCCCCCACAAGGCGAAGGAAGCAATAGACGTCATTCGCATAGTCCAGCTTCACGAGCGTAGATCGCCAATGGTAGGGTCGAGTCGGCAAACATGCGTGTAGAGAACGGGCATTTAAGATCAGTCATGTGCCCCCGTGGTCTGACGAAAGTTCACTCCAATCTACTGCAACCAGAAGGTCTCTACGTGGAACAGTTGGCCTACGATCATGTCCAAAGTCGATACTGGCGCGGCTCCTCCTCAGGAAGGGTGAGCTTCCCCCAACCCCACCCATTGGTGTCTTTCATCATGCCACAAGGCAGCTAACCAACCGCGCAGCGACTGGCCACCAGGCTACGTCCCTGGCCAGGGCTTCACTGAAAGGCCTCGGGCCCAAGAACCGCAGAGCGTCGTCCCTCAGGATCCCGCTCTCGATCCTCCCCAAGATACACCCAGCGATGCGACCGCCGCCACCCTCAACGATGCCCCCAATGGCGTGTCTGGTCCAGAGCCAGCCGGCAAGAACATCGTTCCCCTCGAGAAGCTCGACGTCAGGCCGCAGTGGGTACACTGCCCTCAATGCAACCGGGACACGCAGACACGGGTACAGGGCCGCAGCGAGGGCAAGACCAAGTTTATGAATGTGTTCTGGTGGCCTCTGCCCAACCGCAGGCACTGGTGGGAGAAGACGCACTGGTATTGCCTCAAGTGCGACAAGGAGCTCGCCATGCAAAAGTACGGCAAGGAACTGCAGGTCACGGCGAACCAAGTCCAGAAATGACCGAAGATCCCCATCGGGTCGGGGTAAGCAAGGTGACTTTGCACGGAGTAGCGAGACGGGGACGGTAATTATTGAAGATACCATATCATAGCGATTTCGAATTACCATTTGCACTGGAAAGTTGCAATTTCCCCCGCCCAAACTCAAGCAGCCGTCTTGTCTTGCAGCATATGATCCCTCTTCTTCGCCTCGGTCATTGTAATGACAGCCCTCTCGTTGTTCTTCTTGCGCCTGTCCGTACTGACGGTGCAGGCCGCTGCGGTGATAGCCAGGACGCCAAACGCAATGGCAATGAGGTAAACCAGCCTGAAACCCTGGACATAGGCCTGGCGCGCAGCATTCTCCGCCTCGCGGACGAGTGCGGGTGATGAGCCGGCGACTGCTTCATACGCTGCTCGGGTGTTGGTTGCCGCTGCGGTGATGAGCTGTTGGAGAAGACTGTCCGAGTACTCGACGCCCGCATTCTCAATCGCATCCGTCATGGTCGACGGGAGGACCTCGTTGAAGCGGTTGGAGTAAATGGCCGTATAAATGGCCGTCGCAACGGCACCACCAAACAGTCGGAATGTGCCGGCGAGGCCGACAGCGACGCCCAGGTCGCTCTGGTCCTCCAGGCCGAACGACAACATGGTAAAAGACAGCAGTTGCGGCGGCGTGATGGTGGTGGCAGCCAGCACGACCGTGGCAATGGCCTGCGCCTCGTCGTTGGCACCCACAGATGCCATGGACCCGATCAGAGCTGTCTGCGCAACAGTAAACCCGACCAGCTGCCACTTCTCGTGATGGAGGCGCGAGCAGACGAAGACCACTACGAGGCCAGCCGCTGCGTAAACGGGTCAGCATCAGGCAGGACAAGTAAGAAGGGAGTGGCGACGCGACGTACTCCATGTGCCACACGAAAAGATCATGGCGTACACGCCACGCATGATTATATCGTCCTCGGGGATGAAAAACGCCTGCGACTGACGAGGCCAGAGAACGTTCATGCTGTAGTAGAGCATTCCACCTACAAAACAAACCACAATGACCATGTCGAACCTTTTCATGTCAGCGAAATAGACATCGAGGGTGTCACACCGTCAAGACTTACTCGCGAACCTTCCTGAAGAGCTTGGGTGGGAAGAGCGGATACTCCAGCTTGGCGTACGAGCACCAGAAGCCGACAGCAATGAAGCAGCATCCGCCAATGATGATGGGCGCCAGTGTTCCTGGGTGCGTCCACGGATACGTTCGACCGCCAAAGTTCACTCCAATGAGAAACAGTGCGCCACCGCTCAGGAAGAGCAAGACGCCGACCCAGTCCATCTGCTTGACCAGCTGCCACTTGGTCTTGCCATCTGCACGGTGCTTCGTCTCAAAGTCCGGGGGCGTGTAGAAAAGGAAGAGGAGAATGAACGCCATGCAGTGGAACGAGAAAAGATACCAGTAGGCGCCTCGCCATCCAATGTCCTGGTATGCAATGAAGGCGTAGCTGATGACGGGACTGGAGAAGGCGATGGCCAGGCTGACGTCCAAGCCACCCACAGCGGCTATGCGATATCGATTCGGCACGAGCTCCTGGACGCAGGCGTAGCAAAGCTCTTGGAACCCAGAGCCGACACCAAAGAGAGCGCCAGAGGCAATCATCATGTTGATGGAGCGCCCGTTGGCACCCACAAGCGCGCCGCAGATGGAGATGATGGCGCCCGTCATCATAAAGTACCGTCGACCAAAAATGTCCGACAGACGGCCACCAATCGAGACGATCATGGAGGCGCCAAAAGTCCAGTTCAAGGTGATCCAGGTCGAATTCGGGTCTGGTCCAAGCTCGGCGTTGATCATGGGGAGGGTGGTTGCTGGTATCAGCATGGACATGATGTAGGCGTTGATCTGTCCGCACATGGCCTGCTACCGTTAGCCACCGTCAAAATTCGGGCAAAGATGCTGATAAACGCACAATGTAGGCCAAGATGACCTCCTTTGTCAGTTTGCCGTCATTGGGATCCTCCTCGCCCGTGGGCGTGTATACTGCGTGGGCATTCTCAACCTCTTCGTGGTGGGCGGTTTTGGACATGTCTCGGATATCATCAGCGTCAGAGACGCGAGAGCCATGAACCGGTACAGCCATGTTCAGATTCTTCGTCGGCAGGAAGATGCTGATGAGGAAGCTCGTCTGACCGACTTGAATTTGATGTTACCCTAGCGATCGGCGGTCTTTAAGCTTCTCAATTAGAATACGCTCTGCCAGCGGCTGTTGAGACCCGGGCCACTATGATAGCTCTTCGATACAGGTTTCCCCTTTACCCCACGTTTTAAACTTCTTGAATAGCTCTCATCTTGGCTAGATGCCGCCCAGTCTGGGGAAGCGCCGATCCGGGGGGCGGATGTTGAGTGCGGAGAAGCTCAGCTCGCATAAGGTTTCCCGACTGCTTTTTCATTCTCATTGAGAGCGCCAGGACAATAGGATATCCAGCGGAAATTGATTGCCGCCTCGATAGAGCACTGCTTTCAATGGCAGTCGCTGATAAGTGTCCGATGGCCGCTTTAAGAAGCTAAGCGTATGTAGGCATCCTACCACCAAACACCAGCCTCTCACCATGACACGAGTAGTCGTATTCGGTGCCACAGGAGTCCAAGGCGCAGCGCAGGTCGCTGTACTCGCACGGACTGGTCATGATCCCGTCGCTGTTGGCCGCAACCCCAAGCCGATAGAGATTGACGGCAAGCCCATCGAGACATGTGCCGCCGACTTTGCTGATCAGGCGGCCCTCGACAATGTCTGCGCCACAGCCGAAGTGATATTCCTCAACCTGCCGTCTACGTCCTTCCAGCCGACGGAGCCCATCCTGGATGCTGCGCGAGCCATCGCCCAGGCTGCCAAGAAGTCGTCGTCCGTCCGCCTGGTGGTTTTCAACACGAGCATGCCGGTGCCCGAGGAAAAGCGCGGTATCGAGGCGCAAGACGATCGAATCGACATTCGAAACATCCTGCGGGACCAGGGCCTCCCCGTCATCTCCATCCAGCCAGTGGTCTTTCTAGACAATCTCCTCGAAGGCTGGGCGTACCCCCCAATCGCCGAGCGCCAGACCATTGTCTACTGCCACAAGCCAGAGCTCGAGGTGTCCTGGATCTGCCATCACGACATTGCGCAGCTCATGGTCGCGGCCATTGACCGCCCCGACCTTGCTGGACGCAACATTGCCGTTGGTGGCCCGGAGACGGTGCACCTGCACGAGTTGGCCGCCAAGCTGTCGCGCGCGTGGGAGAGGCCGATTGGGTATGAGCACCAGACGGTGGACGACTTTTGCGACAAGATCAGCGTGGCCATGAAGCAGAGGTCGAACATTGACGCCGACCAGCTCGTGGCGCAGATGCACAAAGCCTACACGCACTACAACGAGTCGCCTGAGAAGCCCTTCAAGATCGACATGGGCCCTGTCTTGGAGGAGCTGCCGGTCAAGCTGACGCCAATTGAGGACTGGGGCAGGATGACAAAGCACAGGCTTCCTCCGCCCATAGCGACCTGATCAGTAGATGAATAGACTCAAGTCCACTCTGAATGTGACTTCATGTTGGTGTCGAGCAGTCGCTAGTTGTGACTTTAAATTGATCATGCGAGGTGGACAGTTCCGCTAGTGGGAGTTCACGGTAGTGAAGCGCGCGTCGTCGCAAGGCTGCGTCGTCTGGTGCTGGCAGATTTTAATGGTGAATGATCAAAATTGGTGTCGCGCTGGTTCGCGTGTGACTTCCTAATGATAAGAAATTTCCTCCATCAGCGTTCGCCCCGCTTTGAACTCACCATGATCATCGCCATCTTGGAACATTGAAGCATTGACATCACCCAAGGCCACAATTCAGGGCGCTGGACATGCTCACCTTTGGTCCTTATCGAACAATGAGACTCTGCCATGCGCATCGCTGCCGCTTCGCTTTGCGACCATCATGACAACTCTACCGGCAATCGACGCTCTGCTCTGGATCCTTGGCGGTACCACGAGGGCAATTCTCGCGGTCGCGATCCTTCTCGGCACCTGGATTCTCCTATTATGCGTGTACAATGCATTCCTTCACCCCTTGGCCAGAGTCCCCGGCCCATGGGCGGCGTCACTGTCCAACATCTGGCTCGCATGGCACGTGAAGAATGGCCGTGTGGCGGAGCTGGGAAAGACGCTGCATGGGCGCTACGGGCCAGCTGTGAGGGTAGGGCCCAATGAGATCTGGTTCAACAGCAAGGAGGCGTTTAGGACAATCTACAGCAGTGGGAGTGGCTTTGAGAAGTCAGAGTTTTACCGTAAGTAGTCGAGCCTTGCCTGTGTGGCTTCTGCGCCTGGTCCTCACACATGCTGATGGCGAACAGTCGCAACAGCCCTCATCCGTCCGCTTCAGGTTGACAGGCACCTCCAGGTGACCTGGCCAGACGAGCTCGATCTGCTCTCCGAGGGAGACATGAAGCGATACCGTCTCCAGCGTCGGCTGATTGGGCCAGTCTACCGACCTAACAATGTGCTTCGCCACGAGGGGAGCGTGGACGTGGTCATGAAACGCGTGGTCAAGAAGCTTCGCTCGCTGCACGGCAACGAAATCGACCTCAAGGAGTGGATGCACCTCCTCGTCGTCGAGTGCCTCGGTGCCGTGGTCGTGTCATGGTCGCCGGGCATGTTGGAGAAGGAGAGCGATCGAGGAACGAGCGTCCATGCCTACAATGCGTGGAGGCGCAAATCCGTCCTGGGCTTGTTTCCCCTAGTCCCCAAGCTCGAGTCTCTGTCCATGCCGGTTGGGCGGGCGTTCAGTAGGATCTGGGGCATCAACTTTGACGCGCCACCCAAATTCCGGCCCTTCTTCCCAGTGAGTACCCATGGTTCGTCGAAGCTCCTTGACTAGGAGAAAACTGACAGGAGGCAGGCTGTGGGCCAAAAGATTGGGCAGAGGATCAAGGTGATGAAGCAGGGGCAAAAGGACGCGCGCACAGATCTCGCAGCCGATCTTGTGCAGCTCCATCAAGACCGACCCGAGTTTACAGAGGCGTACCTGCGCAAGATGATTATGACCAACTTTGGGGCCGGGCACGAGACCATGGCGTCGACATTGACGTCCCTGATGACGGCCCTGGGCGAGCACCCAGAGGTACAGCAGCAGCTGGCGGATGAGCTGCGTCAGCTGAACAGGTACCCCTCGTACGACCAGGCGGACAAGACACCCATCTTGCACGCCGTCCTCAAGGAATCAAGACGCCTGTACCCCGTGGTGTCCATGGCGCTACCACGCGTCGTCCCAGGCTCGGGGGCCCGCCTGCATGGCTACGATATCCCGGCCGGGACGACGGTCGGATGCAACCCCATTGCCCTGCATCGGAATCCGGACGTGTGCGGACCAGATCCGGCGACTTTCGAGCCTAGCAGATGGCTAGGTGATGAGCAGCGCGCAAAGACAATGGACATGTACAGCCTGGGATGGGGTGGCGGTGCCAGGTCCTGCCCCGGGAGACACCTGGCCGAGATGATGGTGTGGAAGATGGCTGTGGTTCTGCTCAGGGAGTTTGAGATATGTGTTCAGGCGCCAGCGGAGGAGGAGATGCCATCGTACTTTTTGTCGATCATGACTGGCGTCAAGGCACGATTTCAGAGACGGGACAAATGATAGTGACAACCATCCTCTAGAGACCCAATCAGTCCATGATGCTGTCTAAACATCAAGCCAGAATAGTAGCGTGAAAGTCGCGTCGTCAGGGCGTTGAACTGTTGAACAGTACTCCGTACTGCATACCAATTACGTGATAAGAGCCTGTCCTCGCCTGGGGCGGGCTCTCGCTAGGCTGTGGGGTCTTATGGGCTCCACGAGGTAATTTACCAAGGACCCAGCACCTTAAAGATAGTTTAGTTTGTGAACAAGGTTGTTTTGGCCACTCCATTAGTCTCCACTTGCCGTTGATAAGGCCAAACGTGGGCACGGTCGACTGCATTTTTCGTCTGCGTTTGTGGTTCAAGGGGAGCGAAGCACCACCATGCCGTGTCTGAGCGAGGACCGTGACAATATCAGAAGCCAATCACGGCCATCTTGATGGCTAGTGCTCACTATCTGCGCGAATGGTTTGAGCGCATTGCTACGGAGGACGAGTTCAAAAGTTATGCGTTGACGCTAAAGGCGCTAAGTCTGCATGTCGTTTAAATCCAGCTAGCTTTGGTGCAAATCCTACGG